CATATATTAATTCACGCACCCAGAGATGTTGTTTATGGTTCTGGATTCAGTCCCCTTGATGCTGTGATCCCTTAGGATTCTGAGGATAGAATGTAATGTAGAAACTTATAATTCCATAGGAATCAATGACCTAGTTCAAAGAAGGAGTCTTTCATAAGAATTTTGTAAGTATGCTATTAGAAAGCATTCTTCAGTCTATTCCCAATTTCATATCTCTAATTACTATGGCAACTCATATATGTGACAAATATTTTCTGAATGCTCCTCTTGGTGAAATAGAATTTAAAACAAAATCTCTCAACCCAGAACATCTCTCTACAAAAACAGATAATGCAAACAGTTTTGGTTGTTGAATACATTAAACCAAAATGTGATGTCTATCATGGGCAAGCTACTAAGAGATCACAAAATCAAAGAAATATCATCTTTTTATACAGTGATGCAGAAACAGTCCAATACATACATGTTCTCAAGGTAAACAATAGCTAGTTCTCAAGACTTAACAGCTCCATTTGTCGCACATAGTTCATCCTAGAGTCACCTGGTAATTAAGGTAACTGTTAGCTAATCAGCTTCATCCAAAGGAAAAACAAACTTCTCATGTTTTTGTGACAGGAGGTAGTTTTATAACTTGGATCATCACTTGAATAGGCTCCTACTTCAAGTTTACAATCTAGTAAGGGGAACCAAGAATGACAAATAATTATATGTTGGTTTTAGTTGACTCAGTGCTATGGAGAAGCAGAAGCAGCTAACAGTTTCTGACAGGGAAACTAAAAGTTGCCTGGGGGAATCTGGGTTTCCTTGAGAAAATTTGAATTAAGTTGAGAGGTGACAGATGATTTAGATTTCTAGGAATAGGGAACCACAAGATGTGAAGGCCCTAAGTTACAAAGAGCCAAATGTGTTTCAAGAGCCAAGAGAAGAATGCTAATGTAAACTGGAAGGAGCAAAGGACAGCCCCTCAAATGGAGCTGGAAGATAAGCTGGGGCCAGGCCATGCTGGGTCCTGTACTCACCAAGATAAGAATTTTGAACTCTATCCCAAGAACTGTGAGAGCCAACACAAAAGTTGTTAGTAAAGTTGAGGTAGGATAGAAGGCGTGAGAAATAAATAGAAAGGAGACATAAAGGGTGGGGTGGTACACACCTGTAATCCCAGAAGCTCAGGAGGCTGCAGCAGGAGGATCCCAATTTCAAAGCCAACCTCAGCAACTTAGTGAGACCTTGTCTCAAAGTAAAAAAATAAAAAGGGCTGAGGATGTTTCTCAATGGTTAGATACCCCTGGGTTCAATCTCCAATGCCAAAAATCAAAATAAAGCAAAACAAAACAAAACAAAACAAAAAACCACAAAGGAAGGAAAAGGAAAAAAGATTTTAATTCAAAAATACTTCAAATTTTTCCAGGCCCTTCGCTCCCTGAGCTGTCCTCCCTTGCCAGCCTGTTACTCCCCAATGCCTGGGAAATCTGTAATTTTATCTGTGAATCATTAATTAAACCCCCCAATAAATAGATTAAGCAAGAGTAAATATGATGTCTCAAGAAAACGATAATTTAGGGGACTTTTCCAGCACGACTGAATGATCAGATAAGGAAAACCATGTCAGCCTGAAGATCTTGACTGTCCAGACCACCATAAACCATCTTGAGATTGCCAGACTGGGATCTTCCTACATAGACACCCCTTTACATAGGTATGTATGTACTTACTCACTGGGGACTGACCCCAAGGGAACCACTGTACTACATCCTCAGCCCTTTTTATCTTGAGAAAGTCTCATTAAGTTGGTTAGGGCCTAGCTAACTTGTCGAGGCTGGCTTCAAACCTGTGATCCTCCCGCCTCAGCCTCCGGAGTTGCTGGAATTCCGTGCGCCACCGTCGCCACGCACCAAGTTTCCCTTAAAATAACTGCAGAGGAACCGTTCAAACCTGTCTCTCACTCTGAATGAGGACCTGCATTCTCCCTTGAATGTGTACCTACGTTTCTAAATGACCCGTCATGTCCCCAGCTGGCACGTATTGAAATTATTTTCCCTTCTATGCCAAGAACCCCGCTGGTACTGAGTCGAGTCCCCCCCTTCTCCCCGGGAACTCTTCTTCGGACTCCGCTTCGGACGCTTCTTCTCTCGTGTCAAAATGACCTGATAAAGATTTGCAAAGCTGCTTCACAATAAACCTTTCTAACCCCAAATTGTACTAAGCAGCCGGGCGCGGTGGCGCGCGCCTGTAATCCCAGAGGATGGGAGGCTGAGGCAGGAGAATCAAGAGTTCAAAGCCAGCCTCAGCAAAGCACTAAGCAACTCAGTTAAGACATTGTCTCCAAATAAAATACAAAATAGGGCTGGGGATGTGACTCAGTGATCAAGTGCCTCTGAGTTCAATCCTCGGCACCCCCACTCCCCCCAAAATTGTACTAAGCACAAATCCATCACATCGGAAGGGACACTACTCCAAGAAATCCTGGTGAGCCACATTGGTGAGCCTTGTACAAACCAAGGTGAGTAGCAAAGAAAGTCTCAACAGCTACCAGAGGATTTGTTTCTTTTTGGAGGCTTAAATTAGTCCTATTAAGTAACTCTCTTCTCTGAATTCAAGTGAGCATAATGTCAGCAGAGAAAGTTTCAGACAGCGAAAATTTAAGTGAAAAAAAAATGCTTTGTTGTTCAGTGTATTGCTGTTCTGTGTAATGTTCCAGGGTGAAGAAGGGGGAAAGAGAGGACGATAAAGCACGCCGCTCCCACCGCAAATTCTAGAGGCACCATTAAATTAGGAATTTAAGATGTATTCTAGTCCAACCCCTATTACGTTACACGTGAGTTATGTAGTTTAGATAATTTGTAATTTCCTTTTGGCCTAACTTAAATGTATTATATAAGAAAAAACAAAACCCCAAAAAACTGTGAACAGGATTCGCTTTCCTTCTGGAGAGCTGAGCGATTACAGTTTATGATACGTCTTTTAATACGATTCTCCAAACTGAGAGACAGTTTGCAGCAATAAAAATCAGAACGCCCGCGGAGCCCGAGCAGAACCTGCAGGGAGCCCAGTTGGCATCGCTCAGCGAAGCTGCGCGTCACTGGAGCTGGGGTCACCGGGCCCAGGCGCCACCCTCCTATTCGCAGGAGAGCGGGCATTTACTCCTTATCTGAGAAGCTAAGATTGGAAACTTCCTGTTGGGCAATTTTGATGCCTTGTCCAGACTGGGAACCCTTTGAAAACACCCTTCAATTAGAAAGGAAAACTCTCCAAAAGAAAAAGGAATGCGCGAATCTGGCTAAACCCTAGCATATCCTTGTAGCTGCCTCAAGGTAGGGGACTTGGAGCGTGCGTGGACTTCGCGGGGCCACGTAGGCGTCCAGGCCCAGGCCCGGGGCGGCGGGGCGGGCTGCGGCGACCGCGGCGGCGGGAGGACCCGGCGCTGGGGGCGCTGAGCGCGGCAGCAATTCTGGAGCCCGACGAGCCGCGTCAGCGGAACCGGCGGCTTCCGGCCGCGGCGTAAACAAGGGCCCTGGACTGCTGGAGGCGGGGCGCAAGGCTGCTAGAGCTAGCCAGTCGACTGGGCAGCCCTCCCCTCGCTGCTCCTGCCCTGGGCCCCCCTGCTGTCCCTCGCCCCCGACCCACTGCACGCAGGGCGCCGGGGCGGTGGAGATCTGAGCTCGGAAGAGCAGGGCGGGAGACAGCACTGGCGGCCAGCAGGCCTGCACGCCGCGCCTGTCATCGCCTCTGCCTTCTCCTGGCTACGCGCCGCTTTGCATTTCTTTCCTTTTCTTTGTCTCTTCCCGGCTCACAAGTGTGGACATTCTTGGTGCACGAAAGTGCAGCCTCAAGATGGCTGATGGCAACGAGGATCTGCGGGCGGATGACTTGCCAGGGCCAGCTTTTGAGAGCTATGAGTCCATGGAGCTCGCCTGCCCAGCCGAGCGCAGCGGCCACGTAGCCGTCAGCGACGGGCGCCACATGTTCGTCTGGGGCGGCTACAAGGTCAGTGGGGGGCCGGCGGGCTTCGCTTGGCTGGTGCGCGAGCCGGTCAGTGGCCAGGCGGGCAGCAGGAGCGGGCTGTCCAGGGCGCTTCCCAAATCTCTCGCCACGCGACTCTACCCGTTGTGTGTGTGTGTGTGTGTGTGTGGGGAGGGGTGTCTTCTCGTGAGTCCCCCAACCCGTCTCAAGGCTCCACGGCGGTTGTCACGTCAACCTCAGCTTACAAAGCCCGCTTGCCGCCCCCCCCCCCCCGCATTGTTGCTATTGGAGCGTTATTCTGGAGAGGGCACTGTTAATGTGGGTTGGTGGTGGATGACTACGGAACAGGTTTTATTTAAAAGGGTTGGGGGTGTGTAAGGAGATGGCGTTATGAGGTCACCCGGACCCTTTGTCCGGACTACTCAGGAGAACTTTACCTATGAAGCTGAGGCCAGTTGGGCCATAGGTAGCTTTGCCCACTTATGGGGTGGCCCAGGTGTAGGAATACCCTGGAATTTTGCAAGGCCACGGAATCGCCTTCTTCAACCTCCCCGCCTGTGCAGTAAGCAGTACCAGCTACACCAGACTATTGTTTGAACACAACCATTTTCCCTCTGGTTTCAGGAGTGAAAGGGTTGAAGTTTTTAAGAAGAAACCTCCATTTAGAAAATTAATGGAATATTTCCACCACTAACCAACCAAGAACCCCTAGCAACATGTTATTAGATCGCAGCTCTTTGACACCCTAATCATAAAACGTGCTTAGTTCAGTTTAGAGCCAGTTGCACCGCTTCTCCCGCCCCGCCCCGCCCACCGAGGAATCCTACCCAGATGTCTTCAGTGTAAAACCGTGCTCGCTCATTCGTTCTGTTCTTTTATTGGTTTTAGTTTTCCAGTGACACTCTACATTCTAGAATTCTCTTATTAGCTGGGTTGGCTGTGATCCATTTCGACCACGAAATCCTTTATTCCTTTTTGGTTTTGTAAGTGGTCAAAGGGAGCATTGTCTAAGACCCCAAGTTCAATCACGTGTACCGCGAAGGTTTCATTTGACCAGGGCTGAGGGAATTGCTTCAGGGGTAGACCTGTAGACTAGCCTCGCACTCCGGAGGCCTTGGTTGGGTGGGGAGGATCTCCCCTTACCGAAGACTCGAAATCTAGTTTCTTGCACCTTGCCTTAAATGAGTTGCTTTGTGACCCTGGTAAGTTTAGCTCATGGTACAATTGATCTGATCACAGTTGACCAATTTTGAGGTAGCTCCCAAAGACAGCTGTCCTGACACTGTCATTTGGTTCAACTGCAAAAGTACTTTTCTTTGCCAATCCTAATTAACCTGCCATGTTTTCCCCAGCTTCCCATGAATAGGTGTGTAGAAGGTTGGGGAATGGAACTGTGAAGAGGGAGACAGTAGGCACAGGAAACCCTTGGAGATTGTTTGAAAGGTAGTAAACTTTGGCTTCCTTCATGTCAGGCTGGTCTCATTGAGATCAGGATTGGGGGTATGCAATTGTAAAGAGGGAGGGATTAAGTATGTAGTGATCATTATTAAAATGTAAATACTTTTGAGGGGAAAACAGCATTCAATCACACTTCAGTCTAATACTACTTTATAATTCTATCAGTAAAAATCAGCACTAAGGGAAAAGGATTTTCAGGTTGTGGGGAGGAAGAGGACCATCACAGCAGATTTCTGATTAATTTATGAGGTCCTGGGGGTAATTTATGAGGTTGGGGGACTCATGAGAGGCAGTCACTGAAGTGCGTGATTACCAAATGCCCTCCCTCCTTCATATATATATATATATATATATATATATTTTTTTTTTTTTTACTGGTACTCTTGACAGCAGGCACAGGAAACCCTTGGGAATTGTTTCAAGGGTAGTAAACTTTGGCTTCCTTCATAGTAGTGGGTTTTCCTCCCCAGGCCAGGCTGGTCTCCTTGAGGTTAGCAGGTTAACTTTCAATGCTTTCTCATTCTTTTTTTCCTACCACTTAAGTGATAGAGTAGAAAAAGAAATGTTTGCATGGTTAACTGATCTATTGCTGTAGTTTACTACCCAAATTTATTGGACTTTTACACTAATTTTAAGTGAACTGCATTTTCAGTTTACGGTTTGTGTTGACACTGCTTAAGTGGCCAAGGAGTACCTAGTTCTACATTTTTCCCACATCAAGTGGGAAATCTAAATAAGATTGGTGAATTTTATTAATATTGCAGTATTCTGTTGCAAGCTTGTACTCTAGCTTTGTAAGATGTTACTAGTGGGAAAAAGTACAAAAGAATTATTTGAATTATTTCTTACAAATTCATGTGAATCTATAAATATCTCAAAGTAAAAAATAATAATAATTTAAGAAATGCAAAAAAAAAAAAAAAAAAAGAAAAAGAAAAAAGACAAAGTGTACAGGGAGGATCAAAGACTGAAAATGTGAGGCAGTCATCAAAGTTCAGGAAAGAAGAATTCCTGCTTCCACCATAACTTGCTAAGTTGGGCAATTTACTTAACTCTCCAAAAAAACCTGTTGTAATATCAACTACTTTTTTGTTGTAAGTATTAAATAAAGAGATTTGTGGACAGCATTTGGTTCTGGCATATGGTAAGCTATCTTTAGGAGTTAATACCTGAAGGGAATCGGAATAAAATAAGGAACTTACAGTTTTGCATAAAGACTCAATATTCACATATTTGCAGTTATGCCCTCTATTTCTTGTCATAAAATGAGTGAAAGGAAAACCTGGTTAGAACACCACACATATGTTGGCATGAGTTGGCCACTTTGTGTAGTCTGCTGGTCACAGCACAGATAACCAATCTCACCTGAAGTCATGCAACTGAAATTTGATGCATGGTCTGTTTAGGATAGAGCAGCCTTAGCAAGTTCCCAGAGGCCTTTCAACTCTTTGCACCATTACAATGCTATATAAAAAAATGTGCATTAAGGACTATTTACATTAAGCTTTACCCTGAGTATGTGGTAAGAGTCTAGGAGAATTGTGCATTTAATCTAAGTGTAAGGCTTATTTATTTTTCATTCTAATTTCATAACTGCATCCTTAATTTCATAATATGCCTCCTTAAAATATCAACTACTGTTATTTGCAATTGTTTTGATTCTTCTTAGAGTAATCAAGTCAGAGGATTATATGACTTTTATCTGCCTAGAGAAGAACTATGGATCTACAACATGGAGACTGGAAGATGGTAACTGGGTATTATTGGGGGGGGGGGGGACTAAAAAAACCCAAATTACATTGCAAAGCAAAAAAATATTTTGGGAGCTGGAGATATAATATAGTTCAGTTGGTACAGTGCTTGCCTAGAATACACAAGGCCCTGGGTTCAATCCCCAGAACCACCACCACCAAAAAAAAAAAAAAAAAAAAGATGCTACTCTGAAAACAATGTTCTAGTTTAACTGTTTCATTTCTGTTTAAAATATCTTTTCAGAAACAGTTCAGTAATTACTAGATACTTTTATGACCTTAGAATAAATTTCTATTCAGGGCACTGTAAATACTATTCAGAGCTCTGTAAAGTACCAGGAGGCAGCACCTTCAGACCCTGGAATGAAAAGATGATAAAAGTTCCATATACCCTTTTTAAATATATGACATCTTAAGATATATGTCTTCTGTTACATGGTATCTTAAGATTTAGTTTGTTTGAATTGTTAGGTTTTAGATGGCTTAGAATTTTATCTGCTAAAAATAAGTTCTGCACAAATCTCTTAAAAAAGAGTATATTCTGGCCTGGTGATATAGCTCAGTGGTTAGATCACCCTGGATCACCCTTAAAAAAAGAAAAGAAAAAAAGAGTATGTTCTCTTTAAAAACCAAAATGAATCTTTTCTTTTATATAAAACTGGAATATCTCTTTTGCCAATTGCACAACAGTGATAAATAAAGAACATGTCATTCAAATTAAAATGTTGCTCAAAATGCTGGGTGAACCATGTTTGGGGATTTATAAAAGGGTTTCCAATGGTTTGGTTTGTGAGAACTTTGCACTTTGGTATTTTACCTATTGTAAATCTAAGAACAAGAATATTAGAATAGTAGGCCCACTTGAGGACTGGGGCTATAGCTCAATGATGCGAATACTTGCTTAGTAAGCATGAGGCTCTGGGTCAAGTCCTAACACTGACAAAAATGGAGGGGAAGTCCCACTTAAAGAGTTAAACTTGGGGCTGGGATATAGCTCAGTTGGCAAAGTGCTTGCCTCACATGCACAAGTCCCTGGGTTCAATCCCCAGCACCAAAAAAAAAAAAAAAGAGTTAAACTAAGAGTCAGGATTATTTCTGGATTATAGCAAATCAGTGTTACTATGAGCTATTTGCAAATCTTTTTCTAGAGAACTGGAAACTTTTATTTGTACAGTATTCCCTAATAGAGGACTTCTACATATTTTTAAATTAAGAGTTTTAAAGACTAGACATGGTGGCATACACCTTTAATTTGCAGTTTAGGAGGCTGGGGCAGGAGGATTACAAATTCAAGGCCAGCCTGGGCAACAGTGAACCCTGACTCAAAATATTAAAAGCTAGGAATGTGGCTCATCTATCCTGGGTTCCATCCCAATAGCACACACATATACTCAAAACGTTTTTTAAAAATAAACGTACCAAAATGAATAAATAAGTTAAAATAAATTTAAAAAAAAAAAACAAATTTCAGGGTTAGCAAAGATGAACTGATAAATGTATCTGTGTGAACAGAGGACCTTGAATGTGCTATTAATATTATGAATCCTAGGATTTTTTGATTCAGATTCATTTTTAGATTCAGAATGAGTCAATACTTACCAAAGCACTCACAAGTGCCTGGCACAAAGTAAATAAACACCACCACTTAGGTGTTTGAGTATTACATAAGAATCTGAATCAGATTCATTCAAATGGCTAAAAGGTGACTGAATAAAGAACACTGAATTAGTCTATCAAGACTGGGAATGCTGAAGTTTTCCTCCTGTGGTCTTGACTTGAAAATAAAACAGCTGCTTATGGCCATGTGAATAAATAGCATAGTTTAGTTTGAGAAATATAAAATGGTTCCCAGAATAATAAAGTATAACACAAGGGGTTGGGGTTGTGGCTCAGTTGTAAAGCACTTGCCTAGCATGTGAGGCATTGGATTTGATCCTCAGCACCACATAAAAATAAATAAAATGTCCATCTACACTAAAAATATTTTTTAAAAAGTGCAACATAAGGGGCTGTAATTGTGCCTTAGTGGTATAATGCTTGCCTAGCATGCATGAGGCACTGGGTTCAATTCTCAGCACTGCATATAAATAAATGAATAAAATAAAGGTCTGTCAACATCTAAAAAACACTTTAAATTTTTTTTTTTTTAAAAAAGGTAACACAACACTTAGGGTTTCAGAATCTCATTTTGCCTGCAAGTAGGACCAGCTGGGCTCTATTCATTGTCCATAGAATAGAAAAAGAGGAGAAAGGTTCATCCCTTGAATTGATTTCAGGTCTAAGAGACCCTAGAGATACTGGCCCTGTTATTTTACTCCCTTTATTGAGGGACTATAAATAGAAGAAAATGAAGCTTTGCCTTTCTTAATTTTTGGTAAACTTATATATATTCAATTTCCCTCCCTCAGGAAAAAAATTAATACTGAAGGTGATGTTCCTCCTTCTATGTCAGGAAGCTGTGCTGTGTGTGTAGACAGGGTCCTGTACTTGTTTGGAGGTCACCATTCAAGAGGCAATACAAATAAGGTTAGTGTTCTAAGAATTATGGCTCAAGGCAAGTTTATTCTTTTAGACGACCTCACATTACCCAAGTCAGATTATTGTTTATATCTGTTCCAGTTTAAAAATATTAGTACTTTGATTAGGGTACAAATTGGAAACAAGATGTAATCATGGAGGGAAGGGTAAAGATGAACAGAACACTCAGAAAGTCATAAGGATAAATTGACACTGAAAAAAATTCAGATAGTAACATTTCTATAATATGATACCCTAAGACACTGCTGCTCAGATTTTGCTCATATATTTTTTTTTCCCAAATTGTCATTTGTTCTCTTCAGACCAGTAAGAGACAGATTTAAGATTCAGAAGAACACATGATATAGGCAGACTCCTATTAATTCATTTATTTGGCAACTTAGTAAGCACCTTATATGCTGAGTTGGACACTGCAGAGAAAAATGAATGATAACAGTTCTCTACCTCAAGGAGTTCAATCTGGAAGGGACACACATAAGTAAATGATTATATGCACACAGCCTGACACAAGTAATAATATAGTAAATACTATTAACTCTAAAAGAGTCCTTGACATTGGGTTTGGTAGAAAACCAAAGAATTGGTCAACCAAGAGGTAATGTTTAAACTGAATAATAGGGGTAGTCAATGGTGCAGAGACATAATCAAGTATATTTTACTCAAGGAAATGCCAGGGATTTTTTATAGGTGTGATATATGGTTTAGATGGTTTCAAACTGTGCTTCTAGAAACCAGGGATTTCTTTGAGGTACCCATGAGAAGAATGAATGTGTAGTGTTAGGTGGGCTCCACACTGCCCCTCCTCCCCCATTTAAACAAGTATTAACTCCACTTTTGTTTTTACATATTGGGCTTTCAAGATTTTTGTTTGAAGAAATGGTTCTATGCCTAAGAGGTTTGAGCTGTAGTTTGGCCATGTATTTTTCAGAGCCCTGGGGGAGAAAAATAACTTTGACACAATCTGAAAAAGCTTGGAAAGGAGAGCTGTGATTTTTAGAGGGTGGTCACAGATGGCTAGGATTCAATGTTCTAAGTCTGACCAAAAGGAAGCTTGAGTGTTTGAGAAGTGACTGATATGTCAATATATCCAGTTACCTGGATGGGTAGACAACATTTAACCTTTTAAGTACTGATGGATCTTTAGCTCCCAGAATTAGGAGCTCCCAGGTAGGCACTGAAGACGTGTTTGTTAAATTGAACTTAAAGGTAAAATTGACAGACTTGATTTTGGTTTTTGGTAATACTGTCCTAATATGTATAAATCAAATCAGTTTGACTCAAAGTCCCTGTCTACAGCAAAATAAGGAGCTTATGCCAGACGGTAAATAAACACATTGTTGATTCCTTCATCATAAAAGGGTGGCTATGAAAAATTAGTTGAAATAACTGTGTTCTTAGTGATTTAGAAATTTACATTCTGTCACAAGTTCTTAGTAATCTTGACTCCGACCCACCTGGCAGTCAGTCTATAGTCACAATTTCAGTAACACTGAATTAGATGGCACCTTTATTATTATAAGCCACAGTAAAATTAATTGCTAAATAAAGTTGAATTTCTTCCACATAACGAAATCTAACTGAATTTGTTGCTTCTGACAGTTCTACATGCTGGATTCAAGGTCTACAGATAGAGTGTTACAGTGGGAAAGAATTGATTGCCAAGGAATTCCTCCATCATCAAAGGACAAACTTGGTGTCTGGGTATATAAAAACAAGTGAGTTAGAAAGTAATGTAGGTTTGGATTTTTATGCAGAAAGTAGTTTACCATTCAAATATCCTACGCAATAAACAGTATAGAATATAACTCATAGGACCAATATGAATATTAAATATATTAACACATAAAAGCATTTAACACAGTACTTAAGATAAGTGTTAGCTATTATTATTTGAATAAGCATATTCATAAATATAAGTGTAACTTTTCAACTTGTACTATATGTCAAATTAAGAAAAAAAATCACTTAGGAGCCTGAGGAAGAGGACTGAAAGTTCGAGGCCAGCCTGGGCAACTTAGTGAGACTCTGTCTCAAAATTTTAAAAATGAGATAAAAAAGGGCTGGGTATGCAGCTCAATGATAAAGCACTTGCATAGCATGCACAAGGCCTTGGGTTCAATCCATAATATTGCAAAAAAATAGTGAGAAAAATTCCTTGGGTCCTATCCTGTAGATGTTTGAATTTTTAGTGTCTTTTTTTTTTTTTTTTTTTTTTAAATCAAACAGGCTAATATTTTTTGGAGGGTATGGCTATTTACCTGAAGATAAAGTATTGGGAACTTTTGAATTTGATGAAACATCTTTTTGGGTAAGTAAATTTCATGTTTGCATATGGCCTACTTAGTATGTTGACATAATACATTTTATATACACTAGTAGTTTTGTTCACTTATTAATAAATTGAACGTGGCTGTGTAATTTTATAAACATTATCTGTAAACTAACTCAAAGAGGGTCTTTTTTTTTTTTTCTGTAGAATTCAAGTCATCCAAGAGGATGGAATGATCATGTACATATTTTAGACACTGAAACATTTACCTGGAGCCAGCCTCTAACTACTGTGAGTTAATAAGCAATAATATACCATTAAAACAAGGCTATTTAGAGGAGAGGGGAATATGCCAGAGTTGGAGATGATGTGAAACTATTGTTTCTTGTTTTCTGGAGAGACAATCCATAGTTTTCATTATTCTCCAAGGAACTTAGAACTCAAGAGTAGTTTAATGAATGTATATAGAGACTAACCCAACATTTATTACCTAATAGATGGTATATAATAGCAGCTGTTACTGGTAATATATAATCTAGTTCTAGATGGGAACTTAAATTAGATTTCCTTTCCCTCTGTATTAAATAATGCATCAGTCTTCAGTATTGCTGTTGTCTAGAAGTCTGTGCTTCAGCTTTTAAAAACTCAAGTATTTTGCATATAATTTTCTACATCAAGACTGGATTTTCCCCATTTCTAAATAGTTCACTTATTTATTAAATTGCTTTTATTACTTTTTAATAGGGTAAAGCGCCTTCACCTCGTGCTGCCCATGCCTGTGCAACTGTTGGAAACAAAGGTTTTGTTTTTGGAGGCAGATACCGAGTGAGTATATAAACAGTTTCAATAGCTTACTTTTGAATTCTTCAAAATGTAACTGCCTAATTATCCTTTTTTAGGATGCTAGAATGAATGATCTTCACTATCTTAATCTGGATACATGGGAGTGGAATGAATTGCAAGTATCACTTTAGATAATTATTCAGAAAAGTTTTTTTTAAAAAACCCTTTCTCCCTATACCTTATTATTAGTATGTAATAAACTTGCTTTAATCTTCTTTATGAATTTAATAAACATGATTACCAGGGTTCTTAAGGATGGAATTTTATTTCCAGTTTCAAAAACTATGTGCCTGGCATAGCAAGCATGGGCTTTAATGTTTGCCTTATTTTCGGGGGGGGTTAAGGGCGGTGGGAATCAAGCCCATTATACTCCTTTCTTTAAAATCCCCTCTAAATTTTAAAAGAAAACTTAAATATTTCTCTGCATTAAATATAGTAGCTACTTTGAAACGGATGTTGTAACTTTTTTTCAGAATTCCACAAGGCATATGCCCTGTCGGCCGATCCTGGCACTCACTAACACCAGTTTCTTCAGATCATCTTTTTCTCTTTGGAGGATTTACCACTGAAAAACAGCCACTAAGTGAGTCTTTAAAAAACTTAAATATTTATATATCACTTACATATAATAAATAAATAGCTGAAAATCATTTTATTTTAGATGTATCAAGAGTGTATAGGGTTGGCTTGGAGGTTTATTAATTTTGATCCTATACATACTGAAATTATGCTACATTGTACATATTATGTCATAAATCCATTCCTCCAGTAGAGAAATGACCTGCAGTATGTAAAAGCCCTGAAGGCTGTAACATGCAGAGGTGGTTAACTGCAGAGAAAAAAAGGAGGGGAAAAAAGGAAAAACTTCATTACTTTTTTTGCACAAGTTGTGCCCTTTAAACATCAATGTCATAATGAAAGATAAACATACATCACAGCTTTTTAAATTTTGCTTCAATCAGGTGATGCCTGGACTTACTGCATCAGTAAAAATGAATGGATACAGTTTAATCACCCCTATACTGAAAAACCAAGGTATGAACTATTTAAGACAATTCTTATACTGAATTAGGCCTAGAAATGTGCAAGACTAATAAGAACTGAGGATATTTTAGCTATATTTTACCCACATTCTTATTTTTAAAAATCTTGGTATCTATTAGGGTTTAACATCATACTTCTCAAAGAGAACCAATGTTTTTCTTTTGTGATACTGGAGATTGGACCTAGGGGCCATGCACATGCTAGGCAAGTACTCTACCATGGAGTTATATTCCCAGCCAAGAAAAACCAATATTAATTTGAGTATCAAATGCCTTTCTGTTATTATCTGTATAGGAAGAATAGGGCTGCCCTTTCCTTCTGCTATCAAAAAATCATTGACACAGTTAAAACTTAAAAGCAAGTTGTTTACCTGAGTTGAACCGCACCTAAGTTTGTAATTAAAACAAAAACAAAAGGAACTTGTAAGGGGAGAATTTAAAAATCTTAATGTATGGGAAGGTAAAACAACTGCTGATTAGATTTACAATAGCAACGTACAACAGGATAAATCAAATTATCATTGTCAAATGAACTGTTAAGGACAATGATTTACTCAGCAATGGAGTTCAAAGCACATTTAGATATATCACCTGTATTTTTCCCCCAATCCTCTAATCCAAGTACAGGCATGCCACTAAGATTTCATTTGGTTCAAATGACTTTTCTATAGAATTATCAGGCTTTAAGACTTTCAGCTTATTGGGGCAGAACTTCAGCACCCCTCAGATGTTCTGTGTAAGGCTAACTTATTGCTATCAAAGACCTACAAAACACATCATTGAATTCAAACCTCTTCACTCCATAAATGAAACAGAGACAAATAATATCCATATAAAATCAACACTGATTTTTCTACTTCTGCTACTTTTCCTTAAGGTTTTATTTCTCATGGTCATGTTTAGGCACAACAACTATCTTAAGATCTCTAATCTTTATTTCACTAGTTATGAGTGTGAATGATCAATTTGGTCTTCTGGGTGACTTCAAATTCAAGTTTTTTTTTTTAAATTCAGGCTATGGCATACAGCTTGTGCTAGTGATGAAGGAGAAGTGATTGTTTTTGGTGGGTGTGCCAACAACCTGCTGGTTCATCACAGAGCTGTAAGTATACCACTTCATATTACTACTGAAACTTATCTGTGATGCACTTGCCTTTTTGTTTTTAATGTGTTCACCTCTATTTTTCAGGCACACAGTAATGAAATTCTTATATTTTCAGTTCAACCAAAATCTCTTGTACGGTAAGTAAATTTTTCCTTGGCACTTGACACTTTAGTGTTCTTAAAAAAACAAAAAAAACAGGTTTATGGATTATTTAAGAGCAATGAATCTTCATTGATGTAATCAGTTCCTAAAGAAAGAGGTTTATTATTTATTTATTTAATTTTAAATTCAAGTTAATGTACTTTAAACAGCAAAGTGAAATTATTTTTCTTTTGTCCACTTTTCAGGCTAAGCTTAGAAGCAGTCATTTGCTTTAAAGAAATGTTAGCCAACTCGTGGAACTGCCTTCCAAAACACTTACTTCACAGTGTTAATCAGAGGTTTGGTAGTAACAACACTTCTGGATCTTAAGGCGTCATAGATAATGCCTCAGATCTTCTTGCATGGACAACAATCCTGTAATCATCACAGAGTGGCATCATTTGTATAATTATATGCATTGTTGTAGTTTGCAGCTTTTTGATTTTAATGTGCATGTGAATGGCCTAGAGAACCTATTTTTGTGTCTAAAGTTTACAATAAATGTATTTAACACCAGTAACTTTCCTCTATTAAAGCAAAAAAAAGTAACACTTAGGCTTTTTACCCCAAAGATTGGTTATTACATTTCCTTTTGTTAACTTCAGGATATATATCTATAGAAACATACTAAATAATCTTACCATTATCAAAATGGTAGTTTTTTTTTTTAAGAAAACATTGGAATTTTAGTTTTTCTTTAAATAGCAAGAACAGTCCATAATTTTATAGACTAACATCATAAATACAATAAAATGTTTTTTTTTAACATTAATTTCAAATGGAAAACTATTCTCAATAGAGACTAAAAATTGTTAGAGGGACCAACAGCTATTCAATACTTGACCTTAACACTTTGGTGCAGGGGCTGGGACAAGAAAGTGGTTGAAGATAGACAGATGTTGTCCAATCAATTAAAAAAGTATATTTTATAGCTCATAAATGAATGGAAATAATGTATGACTTTATTCTCCATTCTGATAGGAGACAGAAGAAGAAAGCTGGGTCAGGAATCTTTAGTGGTAAGCCTAAAGTGCACTTCTGATATTACAGGTTGATATTCTATTACATGCTATTGATAACTACTAGACATGGAAAAGAAAATGGTACAGAACTGAATGAGATTACAAGGAAGAAATTAAGATGAAAAATGAAGATGTATAAATGCATTGAAATGATCAATACCAGTTTCTTTTAGGTGTTATTTCTCAAGCTCTGAGTCATAAGAATTAGTATTTTTTACATCTGCTCTACTATATTTTTTGACAAGGTTTTCAAGACACAATCCTGAATGTTTAATCGCCCCCATTCCCACAACAAAAAACCCTTATGATTGGCCTGTTTCTCTATATATACACACAAATACATATGTATATATATATATATATATACAGGTGTATATATATATATATATATATATATGTTAGTTGTTATATACAGTAGATTACCAAGTCAGTAGTTTAAGCAACTGAGCCACACTTCACTGTTCAATTTCTTTACATCATGAAATGAATACTTAATATTAACCTCCCAAACTTCAAGATAATGTTGGAGAATAACTACAGATGAATATAATTAGCATTTAACTTTTCACAAATATTTTAGGAAATCCTATCAGACAGTGTTTCCTCTATATAAAACTGGAAAAAAACAAGAATTAAGTCGTTTTGGCGAATACAGCAAGGCAATGTTTAGTTCATTTTTAAATGTGGAAGTCCTGTTACATGGTGTTTTCATCTCTGAACTTCCAAAAGGCTATAAAATTGACTCTTCTCAAATGTTTTAGGATTTCATTTCAGCTATTTCCTTTTTACATTCAGAAGATTGGGTGCAGATACTTTCACTTTGCCAGGAATGTTTCTTGATAAATCTGTGTCCTAAGAAAAGAAAATTGCTGAATATTTTCACATTCTACATGGCAAATCATGTTTCTTTTATGACAACTATGAATCCTCTGCTGTGAAAAGAAAGGCATATCCAAAATTTTTTAATGGAAATGATTTTACTGCTTCAGTTTCAAGTTAAGACAGCATTTCTATAAAGCAATAGGAAAATAACTGCGAAAATGTTTAACTATACCACCAGTCTCCAGAGTTTTGAAGGAAAACTTTACCTTCACACTGCGGAATAAGTCTTTTTCTCTTGCTGTTGCTTCTTTGGAATGCATAAAACTATTCAAGGCTGTTTTGGCAGCTGTAAACAGAAAACAAGAATCTGGCTCTGTTCAGTCACTGAACTGCTTAAAATCATAATTTTAAAAAATTACCTTTTCCCTTTTTCTGAACTCCAGGAGTAAGTTTCACTTTATACCTTTAAAAAGAAATTGCATGAGTTACTAAATAGAGATTATAAAACAGCTCGTAAAAGTCACTGTGTCAACTATTTTGAGTAAACTAATGGTAACTTACTTATAGTTTGTCATGGTGGTGTAAGGGGCACATATTGGAATGGCAAATAGTATGATATCTTCAGGATGTGGCTGGCCTGTCAAAGAATCAAACAGATTTTCCTAAAAGGGGAAAATAAAAACAATTATAAAAGTAATTTACAACAGCCTTAAAAAAGGAAAACTAGGGGCTGGGATATAGCCCAGGGGTAGAGAACACTTGCTTAGTACTTGTGAGGCCCTGGGTTCCATCCCTAGCACCACAAAAACAAAGAATGAGGAAAATTCTAAGTCAATTGAAATTTCAACATATATTTAACTTTTTCTGATATAGCCTAAATAATGACAGCAATGCCTAAAAATTACTCGAGATGGAGAACAATCCTGTGAATTATGATGATACATGGTAATGACCACAGTTAGATTTTTTTTTTTTTTCCCTTCTCTGGTACTGGGGATGGAATTCAGGGGTACCTGACCACTGAGCAACACCCCGCTGCCCCTTTGAAGCAGGGTCTTGCTAATTTGTGCAGTCTAGCCTCTAAATCTATTTGTGGCCGGATGTGGTGGCACACACCTGTAATCACAGCTGCTTTGGGAGGTCCTGCTTCAGACTCTCAAGCAGCTGTGATTACAGGTGTGTGTCACCACATCTGGCCACAAATAGATTTAAATCTGTTGCAGGGAAATGGGATTTCGGCTAGATCAGTGATTCTTTTTTTTTTTTTTTTTAAGAGAGAGAGAGAGATAGAGGAGGGAGGGAGAGGGGGAGAGAGAGAGAGAGAGAGAGAGAGAGAGAGAGAGAGAGAGAAATTTTAATATTTATTTTTTAGTTTTTCGGCGGACACAATATCTTTGTTTGTATATGGTGTTGAGGATCGAACCCAGGCGCATGCATGCTAGGCGAGCGCACTACCGCTTGAGCCACATCTCCAGCCCAGAGACCAGTGATTCTTAACCAATAATTTCTGTGCCCCAGAGGACACAGTTTTGATTTTTACAATGAGGGGAGGGAAAAAAGAAGGGGAAGTGCTTACTGGCATGTGGTACGTAAGAAGCCAGGGATGTTTTATCCATTCCAAACTGTAAACAGTACCAAATTTGAGAAACCCGGGCTAGAATAGCCTTTTCACCTGTTCTTCAGAAGAAATCCCAGGGCTTCTTAGAATTCTCATTTGGTGGGTAGGCTGCCTATAAGACTGACCTTATGTATTAGAGTCAGTAAACTTAAATTTAGGACAAAATGGTGACCTGAGTGTTGGCTTTGTGTCATATGCCTTTCTAAATGTATCACATATATTCTCAAAACAAGTCTCCTAGTAGGTACAGTTACTAAACACAACAATAAGGCACAAAGAATGAGGAAGCTGAGGCACAAAGTCTACTTCCAAGTTTACACAGTTATATCCAGCAGGCTTGGAATTCAAATCCTGAAAGTTTGACTCAAGATCATGTAGTCTTAAGTTTTAATTAGGTAGAAGTTTTGTATCAAATATTCTGGGATAGGACTATAAGAAAACTGTTGTAATAGTAATCTTAATATAAAAATCATACCTCAGTTCCCTGTTGATCCAGATCCTGCTCTTCCTGTTCAAATATATGAAAATTAAAAGTCAGCAATGAAATTTGAAACCATTAAACCATGCGGAGAAAGAAATAGTGAAATAATAAGACTGTCATATCCAACCCACAGGGTAGGGGCACCAAGGTTGTATTATTTAGTGTACCAATACTCTGAAGTGGATTGGTGTGTGTGCTTATATTTCAGAAAGCAATGCCATTCAAAGAGAAAAAAGACAGTTCCCTGAAGTGGAGAGAAAAAATCCTTCACATACAGTACATCTTATAGCTGTGAAAATTGTAGGAACAATTTTTTTTTTTTTTTTTTGGTACTGGGGATTGAACCCAGGGCCTCATGCATGTGAAGCAAGTACTCTACTAACTGAGCTATATCCCCAGCCCCTGTAGGAACAATTTAAAATAATTAAGCTTGATATGTTTGTCAAGGGAAAAGAAAATGGAAAATTCTGATGAAAAAAACTTTTATTTTTAAATTTCTGTTTAATAGTTTTAGACAATTTTTCAAATACTAAGATATATACATAATTTTATTACTTTGATATGAAAAATCTATTTGGAAATAACTTGAGTCTGTCCAGGTTGCTAGAATGAAATACCTTAAACTGGAAAACTTAACAGAATACTTTTCACAGTTTTAGGAAATCCCAGATCAGGATACCAACAGATTCAGTGTCTGGTAAGGGCATGCCTCAAAAATGGCACATTGCTGCTGGCTCACATGGCAGAAGGGGTGTTCCCTTCAACCTTTTTTTTAAGGTACTAATCCCATTCCTCTAGTCCTCACCTCTTAGTACTATTAAATTGGGTATTTAGTTTACAACATAGGAATTTGGGGGGATTACCGACATTCAGACCATAGCACCTACCCATGAAAGAACATTAATAATTATTATCTTATGAATATATGTGCATTTAGGATTTACAGAATAAACTGCAGAATATGGTAAAAAAATGAGACCCAAAATGAGTTTTTAGAATTACTAAACAACATTGTTCAGGAGAGGAAAAAAAAGAAAATATTGTAATATAAAATCCCTATATCACCTATACTAAGCACACAATTTTTTTTTAATATTTTTTAGTTGTTGGTGTACCTTTATTATTTATTTATTTATATGTGCTGCCGAGGATCAAACCCAGTGCCTCACACATGCTAGGCAAGTGCTTTGCCACTGGGTCACAACTCCAGCCCCCTAAGCACAAATTATACTCAAGCTTTAAATAAAAACAATCCTGATCAGGAAAGTAAAAAAATTTGATTCATCCTGTATTTTACACAAATTTGTAAAAATAAATGCTCAGAATGTCAAGATGTATATATTCATGCAAGATGATATATAAGTTTGGATTTACTGTATCCAGTTGATAAAACAATTGACAACTATCTTATCTGGAAAATGTTTTTTTCTGGGAGGAATTGGGTGATGATAGGGATGGAACTCAGACCTTGTACATGCCAGACAAGCATTTTACCACTGAGCTACACCTCCAACCCTGAAAAAGTTAACTTCTCAGTGCTTTTGCACCTTAGGATTTGGCCCTTGAATTATGTAACCACTTTCAACATATATTAAGATAATATATACTATACAAAAAATGCTTTAAAATTAATTTTTCATTCATCTTTAAGATACGCCTAATTCTTCGTCTTACTTTAATTAAGTTCCTATCAGAATCAAATCCTCTTCATAAAACTGATATTCTCTAATGGTTTATGACAAATATTTTATTAGCAGTGAACACTTACCATTTTTGTGCTTAGACACTGTAATTTTAGGCTTTCAGGTTGCATTTCTAAGATGCCTTTTCATTAGTAAGACGGCTGCCACTTGTCTTGGTTGGTCACCCTAAGTAAAAAGCAAAAGCCCACATGTGTGGAAGCCTTACCTTGTCATCATGTGAGTCATCTACAGCTAAGTCTTGTAACTCATGAGTTAAAACCTCAAGGGCTGGAGTTTCTTTCTTAATGCTCTCTGAAATCCTGGGTCCACCTCTAGGTTTCTGGGGCTGTTTCTTCACAGGTTCATCTTTTGTTTTTCCTTTCTTCGCCTTCTTCCCTTTTTCTTCTTTGTTTGAACCTGCAGACTTCAATTCATAGAGGAAAATTTAGTTAATGTTGTCAATATTATTGTCAAGATTTTCCCAAAGACAGCAGGATGTGGTGGAACACGCCTGTAATTGCAGTGATTTGGGAGCCTGAGGAAGGAGGGTCACAAGTTTAAGGCCAGCCTGGGCAACTTAGCAAAAGCCTGTCTCAAAATAAAAATTTTAAAAGGGTTGGAGATGTAGCCTAGTGGTAGAATGCCCCTGAGTTCAAACCCCAGTACAACAAAAGGAAAAAAAAAAGATTTTTAATAAAGATGTACTGAATGTTTATCACAAGTTAAGCATGGGCTGGGTGTCCACTGAAAAGCAAAAGAAATGTTCTAAATGTTACTTACCCCCAGCAATTTCATAATAAGTTCACGATCTTCTTCATCCTGGTCTTTGTATTTTTCCTTCATTTTTTTCATTTTACTCTACAAAAATTCAACAGTAAAATGGTCAACAAATATTTGTAAAGAAAAGGTGACTCTTTAACTCTGTCAAAATGCTTATTGAGCTGAGGATGTAGCTAAGTGGTAGGGTACCTGCCTAGCATGTGAGGCTCTAGTACCACCAAACACACACATAGCAAAGAACTTATTGAACAAAGCACCATTATAAACAATATGACAGATACAAAGAAGGATAAAGCCATAGTCATACTCAAAGAATTTGCCATATGGTAAAGAGAAGATACATATAGAAATAAGAATAAATTAACATTTAAAACATTGTAGGAAGGTGGGCTGGGGATATAGCTCAGTTCGTGGAGTGCTTGCCTCGTCTGCACAAAGTCCAGGGTTCAATCCCCAGCACCGCCAAAAAACTAAAATTAAATTAAAAAATGTAGGAAAAGTATAAACAAATTTTTCTGAGACAGTTTTTAAAAAGGAGGCATTTTCAGTCTCAGCAAAAATTGTGGGGAGTAAATGAAGCAAAATCTGAAAGTTTTTTTAAAAAAAGAAGTAAATTTACTGCAGTCATTACATTTAGTTAGAATCATGGTACACATAAAGGAAGAACAGGAAATCAGCTAATGTAGGCCTAGGCATTTACCAGTAACTAACTTTTTTAGGCAATGGGGACTGAACCCAGGGCTTTGAGCATGGTAAGCACATGCTCTACCACTGAGCTACAAAACCCCAAGCCCTGAGTTAATTTTTCAAAAGATACAGTAACATATTAGCACATAATCTTCGTAATACTGCTACAGCATTTTTTTTTAACTTTTTTATTTTTTAGAGAGAGAGAGAGAGAGGGAGGGAGGGAGGGAGGGAGGGAGGGAGAGAGAGAGAGAGAATTTCAATATTTATTTTTCAGTTTTTGGCGTACACAACATCTTTGTTTGTATGTGGTGCTGAGGATCGAACCTGGGTCGCACGCATGCCAGGCGAGCGCGCTACCGCTTGAGCCACATCCTCAGCCCCCTGCTACAGCATTTTAAAAAGTATATTCTATATAGATTATTTTTTTATTCATCATTTCCATTTAATAAAATAAATAAAAATTCTACCCAAAATCACATTGATAATTGAAAAAGAAACTAAATTCTCTCAATAAAGATCAGCTCTGGGGCTACAGGTAACTCAGTGGTTGAGCACTTTCCCCATCATGTATGAGACCTTGGATCGAATCCCTAGTACAACTCCTACATAAACTGAGAGCTTCTGAGGAGATGCTGGAGTTCTCTATGTTCCCTAAAGACTGTCTTCCTAGCTAGTCATCAAAGGAAGTCATACAGGACTCTTTTTTTTTGCCTACATCTTCTATTCATTTAAACTTTAAAAAAACTCACAATCTCACAACTTCATTTGTGAATCATACTGTATCAAACAGATCACTACAAAGTTTATTACCTTTTGTCCTCGTTTCATTGGTTGTGCAACTGCAACATTTCTGTTTGTGTTCTGTTGAGTTTCCATGTGTACAGAACTTTCTTTGTCCTTTCCCTCTATTGCTTCTAAATCCCCTGAGTCACTTAGAAGTTTTTTCTTCTTCATTTCCCTAAAACAAATGAAGTGAAAAAAAGCAAATTCTTAGAATTTCCAAATTCTTAGTGCCCTAAAAAAAAATTCAGAGAACATGCACAATATATAAAAGATCATGATTTCTATTTAACCTGATAATCACTATAGAATAGTATACAAAGAGGCTCAAAGAGTCACATAGAAAACAGCTGAAAATTTTTCAGCTGTAATAGATTAATCATTCTTTGTGTTATCCAGGCTCAACATTCTGTCACCCTTGACTTATCCTTCATCTACCCACACTCACTCAATTGAAAACCTTGGGGTTGCAGTTGTGACTCAGTGGTAGAACACTTGCCTAGCAGCTGTGTGAGGCACCACATAAAAATAAATAAATAAAATAAAAGTATTGTGTCAATATACAACTAAATAAATAAATATATATATACATATATATATATATATATATATATATTTTTTTTTTTTTTTAAATGGGATAGAGGGATTGAGAGAAGGGAAAATATGGCTTATTATATTTACTTCTATATCAATTTTCCAAATGAATTCTGAAGTTGTTCTTAGATGAGAAATTAAGGAGTCCTCTGTCCAGATTTCATAGCTATGTGCCTTAAGAACTTACTGATTTCATAATACTTATGTCCAAAAACATCCTACACTCCAAATTTAGGGATTAAAGTACAATATCCCATATGTCCTCTGACATAAAGATACAGGGTTGGTGAAGCTGGGGTTGTGGCTCAGTGGTAGAGTGCTTGTCAATCATGTGTGAGGCACTGGGTTCGATTCTCAGCATCACATATAAGTAAATAAATGAAATAAATGTCCACTGACCAAAAAAAAAAAAGAAAAAAGAAAGAAAGAAAAGAAAACCTTGCTGGCCAGGATTTGTAGTCTTTGTATCAAAAACGGCCTTGGCAGATCTTAAGCATTTTCAATAAAACATTTGTTGATTAGTTATTGAATAAATAAATGGATACAAAAAATAAATAGATTAAGGAAGAAGCAAACATTCCATTGCTATATTTTTCTTCATATTCCCAGTTTAGGACCTCACCAACTGCCAAACTTTCTTCAATGTATTCCCAGTAATCTACCTAAACTTCTATATTAATATTCTTTAATTGTTTACCTATGTTACATTCCCATTCAAAATCCTACAAAGGTTATTTTCATAACTTTCAGGATAAAGTGCCAAATACTTAGCTTATCATTCCATGTTCTCCACTTTTGGTCCAAATTCACCTCTTCAGTCTTCCCATAATCTGTTCACTAATGTGAACTTTGTCTTCCTTTTGCCTTAGTCTATCATTTTCCCAAAGCAACATATATATTACTTCCAAATCTCTCTCCCCTTCATTAATGCTAATTTTCCTTGGAGTCTTTTATCTTTCTTCATATACTTAATGGCTACTATATCTTCAAGGTATATTTCTGATGGTATTTCCCAAAATATCTAAACTTAAAAGCAATCTCTCACTCCTACTGTATCACTTTGACAATACAATGTATTGATAAGTATTTCCTGAATACATGACTCAAAAATTTCTTGAAGGCATGAATTTGATATGTAAACCTCTTTGTATACTCAGTATAAGTAGAGCACCATGTATTGAGATGTACTGAGGGTTCTCTGTAATTGTTTTTAATGATTGTCTTTCTAAACCAAAAGGACTTTATTATCTATTTCATTCCTCCTAGAGTACTTTATGTCTTTCCCATCCTGTAGGAGTTGTTCCCTTCCTCTGCCTTTCTATGTGCCTCCAGAGACCTGCTATTAAAAAAAAAAAAAAGACTTAAATTTTTTCCTAATTTCAAGTATTCTTATTTATTCCTGTCAGTATTATCCTAGAACTAATCTGTCTGCTTAATACATAATAATCATCATTATACATGTTTATATAATAAAAGGTCCTTTAGTTTTTCTTTTTCAGTACTGGAGATTGAACCCAGGCTTAGCACATGCTAAGCAAGTGCTCTACCACTGAGTTACATACCGAGCCCAAAAGGCCAGTCTTATTACTTGATAATAAATTAGGGACCTAAACCTGAAAAACATTAAAGAGTTGAATATCTAAAAATAAAGCTTTGTGCTTGTCTTGGTAATTTTAATAAAGTAAGTCTTTAGAATAAATAGTCAAGTATTCTGTGATAGCTGAGCTATCATTAAAAAAAAATACAAAAAGTTAGGCAGAGTGGGGGCACCCCTACAATCCCCACTACTAAGGAGACTAAGGAAACAGGATCACAAAGTTTAGGGCAGCCTGGGCAACTTAGCAAGACCCTGTCTCAAAAAGAAAAAAATTTTTAAAAAGGCTATAGCTATAGGTCAGATCACTTGCCTGGTGTGTGCGAAGCCCTTGTTTGAACTCTAGCACTTACTAAATAAATAATGCCTTTCAGTTAGATAATACAAATATATTTACCTTCTTTCCTTGGCTGATAAATGTCTCCGGCCTTGTAATTTACTGTCATTCTATTAAAATGAGAACAAAAAGAAAGAAATAAAATTATTCAACAATATCATTGAATTTTTCAAAAAGTAAAATTAAAAAGAAAATATTGAGAAAAATGTAATTTTTTTAAATAAAACCTTAAAATAGCTTACTGAATTAGAAGATTCTTCTTTTGAAGCCAATTTCTGAAGGGACCTATGAAAACAAGAAGAGTATAAAGCCTGAAAACATTCTCATATCATACTCTAAATGATTTTTACTTTTGTATTTTATTTTTAAGAGTACTATAACTATACATAAGTTGAATTCATTGTGCTCTTAATTACTTATAATCCTACAAGTACAATCAAATCATTCATATCTCCACATTTTTTCACCAAGAAGGAAACAAGCTTACACATAAGTAACTTGCCCAAAGGCACATCCTAAGACTCAATTTTGATTGTCTGACTCCTAAGCCATTATTTATAACCCCAATAAAAACACTTTTTAAAAACTATATATTGTTACTTGGTGATCATTAAGACATTAATAACTAGAACACCTCTTTTTTAGATGGATTACTAGCCTTTAGAATCATTTGTTTCTATTCTGAACTACTTTGGTCATTTTTAATATCAATGTATTTTTCTACCCTGGTCCTGGGAATTTCTTTAGAGAAATTAAATGTGGAAAAAAAAAAGAACAATAGCACTGAATAACAGAAAAATGAAGGGTGAAAGTATTGAAGTCAATCTTGGCATTGTCTTTATAAGGATTAACTTGTCATCACAGCTTACAAAATAAAACTTAAAATGTTGTCTATTTAATTACCTTTGGGACTGAAGGTGGGACAAGTCAATAGTAGTATCAGGATACTCTAGTGTCTCTTCTCTTTCATCCTTCATATCACTGATAGGCTCCTGATCTTTTATAATCACTTCAGATTCTCTTTCATCTTCAGAGCTTTCTTCCTGAATTAGTTCCTCATTTAGTTCATCACCACCACTCTGAACAGTAAGATCCTCTTGGTCAACCTGAGTCACAAGTTCTACTTCTACAGGAGGTTCATGTAATTCCTCTTTATCTTCTTCACTGCTAGTGTCACCTCCATCTATAAAATAACCGTAAAGAAACTGACAAGTCTATGTGATTTTCTTGAAAACTTCATATGAACAATTCTACTCCCTGTTGTCTCAAAAGATCACCCGAAAATCACCAAAATGATCACTGATCATTCTCATAGGGGACCACTCTTAGACAAAAGGATAATCTGTACAATCAACAGGTTGAACTAAGTAGATATTATGGACATTGCTACCATTTCTACATGAAAACTGTAACCTGCCTTTTTGGGGTATTTCCCAAAAGTAAGACAATAAAATCAGTTGTATAAATTCTGTAGCTTTTATTATTTGCAAATGAAAACTGAATTAATAATGCATGTTATATAACTGGCACATAGCAGGTGTGCTGTCTAATAGTAGGGTCCATCTGCTCCACCTGTAAAATGAAATGCCACCACCCATCTGTCATAGATGGTCATGAAAATTACATAAAAATTAAATAAATAAGCGGAGAATTATGGCACATGCTTATAATCCCAGCAGCTTAGGAGGCTGAGGCAGGAGAATGAAGAGTCCAAAGCCAGCCTCAGCAATTTAGTGAGGTCCTGGGCAACTTAATAATTATGATGTTTTTAAAAAAGGAAAAAAAAAAAAAAAAGGCAACTCAGCGAGACCCTACCTCTAAATAAAATTCAAAAAAAGGCTGGGGATGTGGCTCAGTGGTTAAGCACCCCAGGGTTCAATCCCAGGTCCCCCCACCCCCAAAATTAAATAAATATAAAGCACTTTATTCAGTGCCAGAGAAATAGTAACCATCAATCAGTATTAGTTACAAATGAAACAATACAATATTACTCCTATAAATGAACAACTCTAGGAAAAAGTATAACTGCAAAAGTAATTTAGAGAACAACTTTCCCTAGCTCTCTTAAGATAAATGTATTCCAGCAACTATAGTTGCTTTCTACTTGAAACATATTATAAAATCAACTCAAATTCTCATGAGAAATTGTACTTCTTATAAATTCATCTCTATTATTTCTTGTCCTTTTTCTGCAGTACTAAAGATTGAACTCAGGGGTGCTCTAGCACCAAGCTACACTCTTGGCCTTTGTAATTTTTTATTTTGAGACAGCATCTTGCTAAGTTGCCAAGGCTGGCCTTAAATTTGTGAGCCTCCTGCCTCAGCCTCTCCAGTACTTAGTATTATAGACATGTTGCCACCATGCCAAGATACTTTGCTATCATTTCTTTCTTTCTTTTTAAAATATTTTTTAGTTATACATGGACACAATATCTTTATTTTGTTTATTTATTTTATGTGGTGCTGAGGATCAAACCCAGTGCCTCACATGTGCAAGGGAAGCACTCTGCCACTGAACCACAACCCCAGCCCAACTTTATTATCATTTCTAATTCCTAAACCCCCAATATAAATGATAATTCATAAATACCTGAGTCCTTTTTTTGTCAAACAAATTTATACATTAGCCATTAAACATTGAAGTTTTATTATATATACACTAAATTATGTAAGTTATGGATCCAATTAAATACTTTTCAACACACTAAAATAATAACTATATTTAACATATCCAAAACCAAACTGATAGATGGTATTTTTATGAATATTCTTTGAAATTTTAATTATCCCAAAATATCATTTACTTAAGGATTTAGAAGTAAAACTAGAAAATAAAAAATATCACAAGCAAATTTACTAAAATGTGTGAACTACCTAGTTGTTCCATTTCTTCTGAGATGAGTTCACTTGTGCAACTTGCCAGTGTCTCCATGTCTTCATCTTGCACTCGGACTTTACGTTCACCCCGATGTCTCCAAACACATGACTCATCTACCTATAGAAATAGTTCTTTTACATTTATAGAATTTTAGGTAAGAATTATGAGGGGGGAAAAAAAGGAAGAAGTTGAAGAGTACCTTAAAGAGGAAGCTAAACCCCATCATTAGATATGAGGGAGGAAGGAAATTCTTTTTTCCTACAAAAGATAATATACATTGATGTTTTAAAAAAATTAGTTTTCTCCATTTTTTGTCTGCAAAATATATGACACCAATGATCATACCCATTTTGTCTCTTACTCTGACATGGGGAACATTTCCCATTTATAGAATCTAGCATTAGGTATAGTAACAATAATTAAGAAAAAATATGCATGCTTATTCTTATGTTTTGGGTCAGACCCTGAATAATCTATAAAAAAGATGACAAGGAAAAAATTTGCTTATTTCATAAAAGACTTCATATGTGACACAAAGTTATGAATTTCTGTTCTGAGAATATTTACAGATGATACTCAAACCTGACTCCATAATCCACTGGGAAGTTAGGGACATTTTTCACGCCAGGCCATTACCTCTTATCATAAAACTTCCAGTTGTCAAATATTCTCCAGTTGGAGCTGTTTTAGACACCTAACAAACACAATAATGTTACATTCTTAAGAAATATTGTTTTTTTTCTATTCAAGAAGTGAAAGTAGTCATAATTCAAATAAGCAACACTATAAAATTCATAATAGCAAAAATTCTCAACACTAAAGATATTGACTTCCCTTCAACGATAGATATACACCTTTGGCAACAACAAAGAAAGAAGGATCTATTATATCAATGTTTCCAAATGCTCTGGAAAAGATCCACTCCTTTCTTCTAGCATGAGATATAATGAGAAAAGGATAGCTTAATAAGTTTATTACAAAATATTAAAATAAAGCTATATTTATTAAGTAAAATCCTTTCCTGAGGCTGGACATGGTACCATACACATATAATCCTAGCTACATAGGAAGCTGAGGCAGGAGGATCTCCAAGTTGAAGATCAGCCTGGGCAACTTAATAAGACCTTGTCTCAAAATAAAAAGTAGAAAGGGCTGGGGTGTAGCTCAGTGGTAGAGGGATCATGGGTTCAATTCTTAGCAGGAAAACAAACAAAAGCTTAAACATATCTCCTTATAAAAGAATTCAAACTACTTTTATAACAAAGTATTATGGCAGAAGATATAATTCCCTCAAGTATTATTAATTTCCTAAAAACATAATATTAATTAAACTAATTCTATAGGAAGATAATACAAATAAATTCTATCCTATCATACAACTTTAGGACCTTGTAAAAGTATATCATTATCAATCATAATTCTTGAAAATGAAATCAATAGTAATGCAAAGTTAAATATGGAATGAAGTATCATCAAATAACAGCATTAACAATAAAAAAGGTCAATTACTAAAACCAAGTGAACTTAAAAAAACAAAAAAAAACAAACAACAAAAAAAAAAACCCACAATAGGATATATCTGCTTTTTTCAAAGGGCAAAAGAAAATTCCAAGAAAGATGAAGAGGAAAAAGACCTTCTAGGCCAGTATAATAGTCGTAACTGATATCCCATTATATGTTACATATGGGATTATATATACCCTATATAACTGCAATGGATCACTCTTCACTTAGATCTTTGTTCAAATCTTTACCTTCCCAGAAAGAGATCCCTGATACTTTATAGTGATAGATAGCCATTATTACTCTCTATTTCATTATATGCCTTTAAGGTTTTTTAATAGTACTTTTTAACTGATATGTATTTTTCTCCACCTACATGAAAAGATCTATCAAGGAAGTAGCAAATCAAGTAGTTTGCCTTCCTTATTTACTTTTATATCCTCAAAATTTGATACACAGTACAGCTCTTAATAAAGAAAAAAGGACTACGGCCCTTATTACCTGATGATGGTACACCCACCAAGCACTAGTGATAACTCGTGCATCCCAAGCAGCACTGTAGCAAAGTGCCATTGTGCCAGCCTCAGTCAGTGTCCGTGGAGGGATGGGTTCTCCTATAAAAATAATGCTACATTTCAATACTCAAGTACATACTTTCTACAAAGCAAGATATAGTATAACCAGTTCAATTATCTTAAATACTAACACCATGCTTTATTTCAAGATTTTAAAAAATGATTGTTTTAATTGAAATATATTTACATGAAAGGCTTTTAAAAGACCTATGTACATAAGAAATATCACAGAAGAAATATCCTTTCAAATTTGCAGGGAAATGGATGGCATTAGAGCAGATTATGCTAAGTGAAGCTAGCCAATCCCTAAAAAACAAATGCCAAATGTCTTCTTTGATATAAGGAGAGCAACTAAAAACAGAGCAGGGAGGAAGAGCATGAGAAAAAGATTAACATTAAACAGGGATGAGAGGTGGGAGGGAAAGGGAGAGAGAAGGGAAACTGCATGGAAATGGAAGGAGACCCTCATTGTTATACAAAATTATATATAAGAGGATGTGAGGGGAAAGGGAAAAAAAAAATCAAGGGAGAGAAATGAATTACAGTAGATGGGGTAGAGAGAGAAGATGTGAAGGGAGGGGAGGGGGGATAGTAGAGGATAGGAAAGATAGCAGAATACAACAGTCACTAGTATGGCAATATGTAAAAACGTGGACGTGTAACCGATGTGATTCTGCAATCTGTATACGGGGTAAAAATGGGAGTTCATAACCCACTTGAATCAAGTGTATGAAATATGATATGTCAAGAGCTTTGTAATGTTTTGAACAACCAATAAAAAAAAAAGAAATATCCTTTCAATTATATCAATCATTTTAACTTCATTCCATAAAGTATAATTTAGAAAAATCTCAAGTTTGAAGACTTTTAGAAGTACTATCCCTTAGATTTCAAATATTCTTTAATTGGGATGTAATTCATAGATCATAAAATTCACCTTTTATAGTGTACAATCCAAAGGTTTTTAGTATATTTATAAAGTAGTGGAACCATTACCATTATCTAACTTCAGAACACTTTCATCCTTCCCAAAAAGAAATCTGCATCTTTTAGCAGCCATTTTCCATTTTCCCTCCTATATGAAGCTCCTGGCAATCACTAACTTTCTGCCCCTATAGATTTGCCTATTTTGAGCATTTCATATAAACTGAATTATATATAGTCTTTTGTATTCTTTCATTTAGCACGTTTTCAAGGTTCATCCATGCTAGCCCAGCGCAGTGGCTCACACTTGTAATCCTTGCAACTTGGGAGGCTGAGGCAGGGGGATCACAATTTCTAGGCCAGCCTGTGCAACTTAGTGAGATCGCAAGAACCTATCTCAAAATAAAAGGGCTGGGGATGCAGGTTCATTCCCCAGTAGCAAAAACAAAAAAATAGTTCATCCATGTTAGAGCACAGATACTTCCAATTATTCCACTGTATGGATAACACCACATTTGGTCTATCTATTCATTAATAAATGAACATAGTTGTTTCTGTTTCTTGATTATTATAAAAAATGCCGGGCTGGGGATGTGGCTCAAGCAGTAGCACGCTCGCCTGGCATGTGTGCGGCCCAGGTTCGATCCTCAGCACCACATACAAACAAAGATATTGTGTCTGCCGAAAACTAAAAAAATAAATATTAAAAAAAAAAAAAAATGCCACTGTGAATATTTGTAAATAAGTTTTGAATGGATACATGTCTTCAATTATCTTGGGTATACAAAACTAGGAATCACTGGGTCACAACTATATTTAACTTTTTGAAGAAATGCCAAATCATTTTCCATAGCAGCTGTGCATCATTTTCTAGCCCCCCCAACAGGGTATAAGGATTCTAATTTCTTCACATTCTAAGCAATATTTGTCCATTTTTTTCCTGGTAACCATCTGGTGAGTATGAATTGGCACTTCACTGTGGATTTGATTTGCATTTCCCCCATCTTTTAATGTGTTTCTTGGTCATTTGTCTATCTTTGAAGAAATGTCTGTTCAAATCCTTTGCTTTTTTTTTGGTACCAGGGATTGAACGCAATAGTGCTTAATCACTGAGGCACATCTCCAGTCATTTTTTATTTTTATGTTGAGACAGGGCCCTGCTAAGTTGCTGAGACTAACTTTGAATTTGTGATGCTCCTTTCTTGGCCTCCCAAGCTGTTGTGATCACAAGCATGTGCCACTATATCCATCCTTTGCTCATTTTTTAATTGGGTAATTTTCCTTTTTTACTGTTGAGTTTTATGTGTTCTTTGAATATTGGTCTCTTATTAAATGATCTATAAATATTTCTGCTATTCTGTGGGTGTCTTTGATTTTCTTAATAGCATCCTTTGAATTAAGGTTTTTAATTTTGATAAAGTCCAACTTACCTGTTTTTCTTTGATTGCTTATGATTTTGGTGTCACATCTAAGAAATGATTGCATGATCCAAGATTATGAAGATTTGACTTTTAACAGTCTTATAGTCTTTGAGCTAATTTTTGTAAATGGTGTAAAGGAAGAGTCCAACTTCATTCTTTTATATGAGGATATCTAATTTACCCAGTACCACTGATAAAAAGATTATTACATGAAAATACAGACCACAGACTGGGCGAAAATATTTGCAAAAGATATATATCAGATGAAAAACGGTTACCCAAAGTTTGTTAGACAAACAATTCTTAGACCTTAACAATAAGAACACAGTTCAAAAGTCAGGCATGGTGGTACACACATGTCTGTAATCCCAACATTACTGAGTTAGCTGAGGTAGGAGGATCTCAAGCTCAAGCCCAATGCTGGCAACTTAGACTGTCTCAAAAGAAAAAGAAAGTCTGAGGATGTAGTTCAGTGGTTAAAGCACCCATGGGTTCATTCTGCAGTACTACAAAAAAATAAAGTCCAAAGACCTTAACCAAAGAAAATATATAGATATGCATATTAAAAGATGCTCCACATTATATGTCATCAGGAAAATGTGAATTAAAATGAGATACCACCATATACCTATTTGAATGGCCCAATCCAGAACACTGACAATACCAAAGGCTATCAGGGATGTGGAACGCAAGAACTCTCATTCATTATCACTGGAAATCAAAAAGGGTACAGCCACTTGAAAAGACAGTTTGGTGGTTTCTCACAAAATTAAATATACTCTTACCATATGAGTTAGCAACTTTTGCTTCTTGGTATTTTCCCAAATGAAAATGTTTATCTATATGAAAAATTGCATCTGGATGTTTATAGCAGCATTATTCATAACTGCCAAAACTTGCCCTTCGGTAGGTGAAATGAATAAATAGATTTTGATAAATTCTAGCAATGGAATATCATTCAATGCTAAAAAGAAATGAACTATCAAATCCCAGCAATTTGGGGGCTACTGAGGAGGAGGATCACAAGTTCAGGGCTAACCTCTGCAACTTAACCAAGACCTTCTCTCAAAATTAAAAAAATGGAAGGAAAAAAAAAAGGTCTGGGGATGTAGCTCATTGGTAAAGCATCCCTGGGTTCAATCTCCAGTACCAAAAAATAAAATTAAAAAAAAAAAAAAAAAAAATCAGTGGTTGCCATGGGTTAGGGATGAACAGGTGAAGCACAGAGGACTTATAACAATAAAAAGACTATATGATATTATAATGGTAGATACATGCATTTATACTTATTCCAACCCATAAGATGTACAGCTAAAGTGAATCTTACTATAAACTATGGACTCTAGGTCAGAATGATGTGTCAATATACGCTTGTCAATTTTCACAACTGTACCACTCTGGTGGGGGATACTGATAATAACAGGCTATGCATGTGTGGGAAGAGGTTACACAGTAAAGCTCTGTACCTGCTGCTCAATTTTGCTGGGAACCTAAAACTCGTCTAAAAATCAATTCTATTAAAATTTTAGAAGGAGAGATAAACGATATTTTGTCTCCAAAGAATGGTCATGGCACCCTTGATGAAAATCAACTAATCATAAACTACAGGGTTTGTCTGGAAACTCAATTCTATTTGGTGATCTATGTGTGTGCCCTTATGCCAACATCATATTGCCTTGATTACTGAAGTGTAAGGCCTCCAAATTTTCAACAATGCTTTCGCTAAACTGGGTTCCTTGCATTTCCATATGAATTTTAGGAGCAGTTCTGTTAAAAAAGAAAAAGGCAGCTGGAATTTTGAGACAGATTATACTGAGCCTATGAATTACTATGGGTAGTAATGCTGTCAGGACTTCCAATCCATACATGTGGGAGTCTTCCATTTACCAACAGTCCTCCTTTACACGGGGTGGGGATATATGTTCCAAAATGTCAATGTTTAAAAAACCAAATTGTTTTATTGATTTTCTTTATTGTTTTCCTATTTGTTTCAATTATTCCTACTTTAATCTTTATTATTTCCTTCCTTGTCTAGCTCTGAGTTATTTTTCTGACAAAGTATAAAGTCATTGATCTGAGTTTTTTCCTCTTTTTTAGCATAGGAATTTATAGCTATAAATTTTCCTCTAAATAATCTCATTAATTTTGATATATTATATATGAATTATGTTGTTTAATTTTCACATATTTGTGAATTTTCCAAATTTTATACAACTGGTTTCTAATTTCATCCCATTAAAGTTAGAAAAATTATTGTGCATGATTTTAACTGTCTTAAATTTATTAAGATTTATTTTACAAACTATCAAAATGGCTTATCCCAAAGAATGTTCATTATAGAAAAATAAATATTCTATTATTAGATTGAATGTTCTAGAGCTTTCTGTTGAGTTTAATTAGTTGATAGTGCTGTTCAAGACTCCTAGTTCCTTGTTAATCGATTGTCTAAGTATTCTAATAATCGACTAAAAGCTGGATTTTGAAGTCTCCAAATATGATTATAGATCTGTTTCTTCCTTCAGTACTGTCTGGCTTTGCTTCATGTAATTCTAGTAGATGCATATATGTTCATAATTATTTTACTGTCTTCATAGGATACCTTTTATTCTTGTGTGTGTGTCTGTGGTGCTGGGGCTTGAACCCAGGGACTTACGCATGAAAAGCAAGCACTCTATTAACTGAGCTATAGCCCCAGCCCCTACTATATCCTTTATTAAATCTTACAGTTAAAAAAAAAAAAAATTAAGGAAAGGAATTAAATTTTGAATAACAAATATATTATTATTACCTGTTGGGTTCTTAATTACACAGCTAGTAGCTCCATGAAGATCAGCATGTACATAGATGTCACCTTAAAAAAAAGACAAATAAGAAATGATACTTTAAGTCCTATTTCTTTTTCTTCTTCTTCTTTTTTTTTTTTTTGTGTGTGTGTGTGTGTGTGAAACAGGGTCTCACGATGTTGCCAATCCTGATCTCAAATAACTGGGCTCAAGCAATCTTCCTGCCTCAGCCTCCCAAGTACCTATAACTATAGGTATATGATACTGCACCTGGTTTTAACTCCTATTTCTTCTTTTTTCTTAATAACTTTATTTTATTTATTTATTGTTATTATTTTTTTATGTGGTGCTGAGGATCAAACCCAGTTCTTCACACATTTGAGGCAAGCACTCTACCACAACCCTAGCCCTTAACTCCTATTTCTAAAGGTGAAAAATTGTTACAAACTTCAACAATAAAAAATTAAATTTTTTTTGTGGGGTGAATGGGTACCAGGGATTTAACTCAGGGGCACTCAACCACTGAGCCATATCCCCAGCCCTTTTTATTCTATTTTATTTAGAGACAGGGTCTCACTGAGTTGCTTAGTGCCTTGTTTTTACCAAGGTTAGCTTTGAACTTGTGATCCTCCTACCTCAGCCTCCTAAGATACTGGGATTACAGGTGCGCATCACCATGTCCAGCTGAAAAATTAAACTTTTAAAAATACTGCTACGCTGCCATTGGAGGATTAAAAACTATTTTATAATTGTTGTAGGAGATCAAAAGTCCAACACCACAGGGTTGAAATAAAGATACTGTGGCCAACTACAACTAAAAAATAAATATATATATAAAAAGTCCAACACCACAGATTAGCTCAAGCAGTACTACTTTAGGAATATCCACTTTAAATGAGAATTAAGTGGCAAAGCACATCTTCAACACATGAACTGTAAAGTATCAAACAAGAATACAGATGAAAATCAGTCCCTAATATTTTGAGATAACTGGTACAAACATTAAGAGAATTTTTTAGAATTTTAATCTTATCTACCTGGTGTTAAGTATCTTTTCACAATTATTTCATTCTGTTGCTGATCTCGTCCACCTATTATTAGATAGTTTTCTGAGCTTATGAACCACAGAAACTTCTCAAACCTATAAAATGGAAAGAAAACAAAGTTAATATTTTTTTCTTCTTGGCTGCCTATATTCACACCATTTAAAAAAAAAAATCAGGAAACAACCCTGATTATGTAGGTTAAGACATCTTGATGATTTAATTATTTTTAAAATATCAAGCTGGGGCTGGGGATGTGGCTCAAGCGGTAACGCACTCGCTTGGCATGCACGGGGCGCTGGGTTCGATCCTCAGCACCACATACAATAAAATAAAGATGTGTCCACAGAAACTGAAAAATAAATATTAAAAAAAAAAAATTTCTCTCTCTCTCTCCTCTGTCTCTCTTTAAGAAAAAAAAAATCAAGCCAATAGTAAGGGGTTTGTAAAATGATGAACACAAGGACAAAGAATGGGGGATAATCATCCTCATAAAAAATATGTAACAAGCCAATAAAAAATAGTTAATCTGAAGAGGGTAATAAAGAGGACAAAAAAGAATATAGAACAAGTGGGACTAGGAATATAGCTCAGTGCCTGAGTGATTGCCTAGCATGTGTGAGGCCCTAGATTCATTCACTAGCATGGGATAGGGAGACAAGACGGACAAACAGCAAATAGGCAGATTTAAATCTAAAGATACTAGAGAATATATAAAATCTAAATGTGTTAAAGGCCCCAGAAAAAAAGGCAAAGACTATCAGAATGGATATATATCTATATATAACAGCATGGATATATATCTATATATACATCCTTATCACATATACATCCATGTATATATGTATGTGTACACATAGATTCACATTTCTTAAAAATATAAGGCTAAAAGGCTGATATATGATGACAGAAAAAGATATATCATTCAAGAACCAAAAAGAAAGCTGATTTAGTTATAACCCCTGACAAAGAATGAAAAAATAGTTAAAATTAGAAGGACATTTCATTAAAGTTAATAACAGGCTGTATTCATCAGGAAGATATAATACTTCTAGATAGGTATCTCTTAATTACATAGCCTTGTGTATGTAAAGTAAAAGAAGACATTGACAAATCTACAATATTTGAAAGTTCTTAAGCAGAACAAGCCTTTTGCCAATCTTTTTCAAAGTCTTAGAAAAATTCTGCTTAGCAAAACTAGAAAATCTGAATAGTCCTTATATCTAATAAGAATTTCAGTCCATAATGAAAAACTTTTCCATAAAGAGAACTCTAGAAATACTGAGCTTCACAAGTGAACTTCATCAAACATTTAAGGGCAAATGAAAACGGAACACTTCTTAGCTTGTTTTGTGAGGCCATATGACCTTGATACTAATTCCTAATAAGAATATTATAAGAAATGAAAATCATAGGCTATCCTATTGATAAAAAGAGATGTCAAATTAATTCATACTAAAAGAGAGGAGACAAAAAAAAATCTGTTGGATGCAAAACAGACAAGTGATCAGACTCAAGAAACTGAATCTTATGCTTATGCTAACAATAGAAAAACCTAAGAAACAACTCAATTTACACTGTCTAATTCATATAAAGCTCAAAAACAGTATTACAAGTAGTAAAGGAAGATAGGGGTTAAGATGGGACTTCAGAAACAGGAGGACTGGCTGAAAATCTATTCAGTTAGTTCCCTGTATTTTCTTTCTAGCTGTAAATATGTTTGTAACTCCCTTTCCACATCCTAACAGATGTAGGAGTAACATAATACATGTGATACATATAAAACAAAACAAAGAGTAAATGTCAAAAATACTGGATACTAAGCCCCCCCAGACTATTATTTCCACTGGGCTACCCACATGTTGACAGCCAGGTCTTCACCTTAAGCAAGGGAATAAAAGAATCATTTTGGAACATCAAGAAGAAAAGAGCAAAAGACCACAAGAATTTTATCCAAAATGGCCTACATGGATCGTTATACAAGTCCAACCACTTCCAATCAGCATTTTTTTAAAGTTTTTTTTTTAAGATATTGATGAACCTTTATTTATTTATTATTTATTTATTTATTTATTTATTTATTTATATGCAGTGCTGAGAATTAAACCTAGTGCCTCACACATGGTACGCAAGAACTCTACCAGTGAGCCAAAACCCCAGTCCCCTAATCAGCATTTTAATACTCTACTATAAAATGTGAATAGTTGGGGGACGGGGATGTAGCTCAAGCAGTAGCGCACTCGCCTGGCATGCGCGGGGCGCTGGGTTAGATCCTGAGCACCACATAAAAATAAAATAAAAATGTTGTGACCCCCAAAAACTAATAAAAAACTCTCTCTTAAAAAAAAAATGTGAATAGTTGTGCTGGAATTGTGTAAGTTCAGTGGTAAAGAGTTTGTGTGAGGCTCTGGGTTCAATCTCTGGTAGGCAAATCAAAAGTTTGAGGCCAACCTTAGTAAGTTAGTGAGATCCTGTCTCAAAACAAAAAGTAAAAAAGGACTGAGGATATAGCTCAGTGATAAAGTGCCCCTAGTTGCAATCCTCAGTACACCACCGCCACCACCAAAACAAAAACACTTCTCAGCTAAATAAAACTAGAGCAGGACATAAAACAGGCATGAAGAAGCAAAAGAGAGTTCCTAGAATTAAAAGCATAAGGTTAGGGATGTAGCTCAGTGACAGAATGCCTGCCCAGCATAGTTGATTGAGATCCTAGGTTCAATCCCCAGTACCAGGGGAAATTTTTTTTTTTTTTTTAAATCATGATAGGAGGGGCTGGGGATGTGGCTCAAGCGGTAGCGCGCTTGCCTGGCATGCGTGTGGCCCAGGTTCGATCCTCAGCACCACATACAAACAAAGATGTTGTGTACGCCAAAAACTAAAAAATAAATATCAAAAAACTCTCTCTCTCTCTCTCTCTTTCTCTCTCTTTAAATAAATAAATCATGATAGGAATAAATAAATTCAATGGAAGAACTGAAAGTTGAAGAAATCTCTCAGAATGTATTATAAGAAAATAAGAGTTAAAAAATAGAAAACTCAAGAAAATTGGAAGACCCACCTAGGATGTTCCATAATTAAAACTGGATTTCCAGAAAAGAAAAAGACATAGTAGACAACAGGCAGTTTTTCAAGAACTGCAATGCTGGGGTATGGCTCAGTGGTAGAGCTCTTGCCTAGCATGCCCAAGGCCAAAGGTTTGATCCCCAGCATTGCAAAAACAGAAAGAATCATGTCAAGAAAATGTCTCAAAACTGAAGGTTAGGGCTGGGGCTATAGCTCAGTGGCAGAGTGCTTGCCTATCAAGTGTGAGGCACTGGGTTCGATCCTTAGTGCTACATAAAACTAAACAAAGGCATGCTGTCCATCTATAGCTATTAAAAAAAAAATTAAAACAACAACAACAAAACAAAACAAAACCCGAAGGTTAATAAGGGCCCAGAAAATATCCAGCATAATGGATTAAAACAGCTTTATGAAATCATACCATCAGGAAGGGCAGCAGGATTAATTGGACATAACTTTCCTAGCCTTATATTTGAATACACAATCAGGATTATTCCGCATCATGTACAACCACAAGAATAAGATCTCAATTAGAATAAGTTATACTCCATGTATGTATAGTATGCCAAAATATATTCTGTCATGTATATCTAAAAAAACAAATAAAAATAAATTAAAAACAAAGCAAACATACTATCACGAAATTCTGGAAATTTTTTAGGATAAAATGAGGAGAGAAAAAAAAAAAGAAAATGAAAATTTACAAGTTTATGGAAGGCAAAAACAAGTTGCATATAAAATATCAATGTTAAAATGACATCTGGGCTGAGGGTATAGCTCAGTGACAGAGTGCTTACTTAGCAGGCACAAGGCCCTAGGTTGGATCCCCAGCACTAAAACAAAACAAAACAAAACAAAACAAAAAACACAAACACAAACAAAAAAACCCTTGAGCTGGGCATGGCATGTGGTTTCAGCTATTCAGGAGGCTAAGCCCAGAAGTTCAAGCCAGCTAGCAACATAATGGGATGCCATCCTCCACAAAAAAAAAAAAAATCCTTATGAAATCATACCATCAGGAAGGTATTCTTCTCAAAATCAATTCTGAAAGTTACTACAACAGAGCAATGCCTTCCAAAGTCTTAGGTAAACCTAAGTGCTAGGAAAATATAGTTTCAATATTGTGTGCATGTAAAAAATTATATATATATATGTGTGTATATATATATATATATATATATATATATATATGTTTATTTATTTATTTCAAACTAGATTTCTACACCAAAAACCCTATTAAATATGAATAAAATAATTTTTTATACATTAGAGAACTTTAAACTAAACTTTACCTCCTATACAAACCTTTCTCATAAAGCTCTGCACACACTCCATACCAACCAATAAAGAGAAGTATGAGATCCAGGACAGAAAATCCAACACAAAGAGGGGGAAAGAGATCTTCTAAGATAATATTAAAAGGAGATTTTAATATGCTAAGATGCAGGTCAAAAGCTCCAAGAGAGACCTCTGACCTCTACAAGGCAATAATAATAAAGGAATTTCACTTGAAAGAGAATCTGAAGATGAATTAGCGATAAAAATAAAAATAAAGCAAACCCTGCCTGTAATCCCAGCTAGGCAAGAGAATCCAAAGTTTGAGCCAGCCTGGGCAATTTAAGAAAATTCTGTCTCAAAATAAAAAACAGGAAATAAAAACAGCTAGAGATATAGCTCAGTAGTAGAGCACCCCTGGGTTGAATCCCCAGTATCACAAAAAAATAAAAGAAATAGAAAGCAAATGAAACAAGAAAATTATTGACTAAGCAAGATAAAAAACTGAGCAAGAAGCCAAGCACAGTGGCACACACCTATAATCCCAGTGACGTGGGAGTCTGAGGCAGGAGGATCACAAGTTTGAGGCCAGCCTGGGCAACTTAGTAAGATCCTGTCTCAAAATAAAAATAAAAGTGTCTCTGGATTCATTCCCCAGTACTGCAATTTAAATATTCAAACTGTCATTGATGACTATCATTCTTGACAAAATTATTCTGTAAGTGTGTGAATGCAACAGAGCACAAATAAGAAAGAAATGAAATTCTCATCTTCCATAGTTAGAAGTCAAGACTGTAAAAAGGAAAAAGTAAGCAGCAATATAAGCATATTATAAAAAAAAGGCAAAGAAAAGAGAAGGCAATGGGAATGAGGTGAAGAATTACAGGGCTACTGGTTTTGTAATAAAATTTATAGAACTGCTAGACCTTCTAAATAGTGTACTTGTACACTGCTGATAAAACAAACTAAGTTTTAAAAAGGGAGAACACTTACCAATATACTTTTCTTGCTTTCTGAATAGAGGTGACTGTTTGAACTTCTTTTAATGTTTGCTTTGTTTTCTTTTCTGCTGATTTGAATGCCTATTTATAGGAAAAAATAATACACTTTTAAAATAATTTGTTCAGAATGTATTTAAATACACCCAGGTAAACAATGGGACAAGAAATAGTTTTGTGTTTTATGATACTGGGGATTGAACCCAAGCCCAAGGGTACTCTACCACTGAGCTATATCCCCAGCCCTTTTATGTTTTGTTTTTATTTTTTTTTAATATTATTTATTTATTTTTATTTTTTTTAAGTATTATTTTAGTTGTCAACAAGCCTTTATTTTATTTATTTATATGTAGTGCTGAGAATTGAACCCAGTGCCTCACACATGCTAGGCAAGTACTTTGCCACTGAGCCATAGCCCAGCCCTTGTTTTGTTTTTTTGAGACAGGGTCTCCCTAAGTTGCCCAGGCTAGCCTTGAACTTAGAATCCTCCTGCCTCAGCATCCTGAGTTTCTATGGTTACAGACATGCCTCCATACCAGCTAAGAAATAGGGTTGTTTTTTTTTTTTTCATAAACACATCCATTTTTATTAAGTATGCAAAAAAAATGCACATAAGATTATAGTAACTCAAACATTTTACTTACCAATGATTGGAAAATTTTTCCAATAGTTTTTAAAACTGGCATTTTCTACCCACTAACATATACATATTTGAAAGTAATGAGGAACAAAAGATTTTTGCCTTAAATATTAAAATAACTTAAAAGTCAAAACTTGAACATATGCAAATATTAGCTCAAGGCATACAAATAAAGAACTACCTTGTTCACTTATCAGATTCCAAGTGCTATCATGTTGCTGGTTTTAAGTGGATACAATAGTGAACAAGATGGGAACAAAGCCCCCTCCCACACCCCACTGGAATCTATGAAAAGAGGCACTATTAAACGAGTACTCATTCAAATAAACATATGGTAAGTGCTTCTAAGAATGTTATCAAAGCATAACAAGGGAACCCAATTTATACTAGATTTTGATCAAAGAAGGTATCTCTGAGGAAATGGCATTGAAGCTGAAATCTAAAGGATCTATGAAGTTATCAGACTAAGAATAGGAAGAAGAGCCTTATCAACAGAAAGAAAAGACCAGCTAGTAGTGATCACAGGATAAAATATCATGAAATGAGATCAGAGAGCAGTAGATAGAGGCAGACTTCATGAAGGTTACTCATTTAACATACATTAAGGTTACTGTTCTATTCCAGACACTATTCCAGGGATTAGGATGCAGCAATCAATAAAACAGACAAAGATCCTACATTGCTGGGTATGGTGGCACAGGCTTGCAAATCCAGCTACTGTGGAGGCTTAGGCAGGAGGACTGTTAAGTTCAAGGACAACCTGGGCAACTTAGTGAGACCCTTTTTTTTTAAAGGGGGTAGGGGGTATATATAACCCAATGCAGAGTACTCCTAGATTCAATACCAGTACTGAGAGGAAAAATCCTACTTTTACGCAATCTACATTTCAGAGGAAAAACATAAGTATTCCAACAGATATGTCTGTTGGGAAGATTTTTTTTTTTTTTTTTTTTTTTTTGTGGTGCTGGGGATTGAACCCAAGGCCTTGTGCATGCAAGACAAGTACTCTACCAACTGAGCTATCTCCCCAGCCCTATTGGGAAGACTTTTTTTAAAGAAGAAATCAACAAAGTAGAGATTCAGGGTGGTACTAATTTTATTAAGTGGTCAACAAAGTCTTCTCTGGTAAAGTCTCAATTTAAGGAGATAAGTGAATGAATAGAATGATCAAACCATGAAAATTTCAGGAAAGAGCATTCCAGGTAGAGAAAAGGAAATGCAAAGGCCCTAAGAGGACAATTTACCATGGCTTTAGGAATAGCTAAAATCACAATGTAGCCAGAAAGAATGTTTAAGAGGAAGAATACAAGTGAAGAGGTCAGAGGAAAGCAGATCACACAGGCCCTTAAGGCCAAGAGAAGGGTTTTGAATTATATAAAAATGGAAAAGAATAAAAAAATTTTAAGTAGAGGAGAGAATGGACTTCACTTGTGATTTAAAAGCATCACCAGGATTGCTATTGGAGAACAGGCTGTATTGGGAAAAAGGTAGGACACAAATCCAATTAAGAGACTGCTATTATAGTCCATATGAACACAGAAAATGAAAGGCTGACCCATTAAAAAAAGAGATGTGTGAGGTTCTGGTTAATACTTTATAGTAAAATTGGGCTGGGGATGTGGCTCAAGTGGTAGCGCGCTTGCCTGGCATGCGTGAGGCCCGGGTTCGATCCTCAGCACCACATACAAACAAAGATGTTGTGTCCGCCGAAAACTAAAAAATAAATATTAAAAATTCTCTCTCTCTAAAAAAAAAAAATCACCCTTTTAAAAAAAAAAAACAAAAAACTTTATAGTAAAAACCAAAAAGATCCACTGATAGGTTGGATATGATTTATGAGCAAAAAGTTCAGGACCTCTCCAACATCTGAGCAGAGAAGAATGGAGAGGAAAAGGTTTGAAAAAGAAAATAAATACTGGAAATACATTTAAAGCACCATTAAATTCAAAAGATCTTTCTGAATTAAAAAATCTCATTTAGGCAGGTGTGGTGGCACACACCTATAATCCCAATGGCTTAGGAGGCTGAGGCAGGAGGATTGTGAGTTCAAACCCAGGCTCAGCAACTTAGCAAGGCCCCAGGCAACTCAGTGAGACCCTGTCTCTATAAATAAAAATATAAAAAAGATATGCCCCTATTTCCCTTTTCATTATTCAAACAGAATTCAAAACATTTTTTTTTTCCTATGGCATAAAAGTAAAGTTTGGTAGAATAAATTCTTAAAGAGCAGAAATTACTAAACTCCTTTCTATTTTATTAATATATTACATTTTCTCAATATTATTGCCAATATTTTACAGGTATATGGCTCAGTGTTTAAGTACCTGGGTTCCACCCCCAGTCTCAAAAAAACATTTTTTAATTTCATTTAAACAGAAATAATAGTTAAGGCTATTAAAGCAGGCGAAAACAGTTAACATTCACTCTAATATTAAATACCTTCTCAGCAGCTTCAACAGTTTTTTGTGTTTTCTTGGCAGCATATCTCTTGTGATCATAATACCTAGAAAAATATATCTCTTAATTTTAAGTAACATCTTTATTCTTTAGTTTTCTACTTATTTCTAATTTTACAGATTATTTAATCACAGAACAAAGCTGAATAATGCACCAAATTAAATTTTTAAAAAGGCATTTCCAGAGGGGGATAGGGTTTCCATAATGTGAGGGGCAACCGAGAAAATTTCAATACAGAGTATTTTCCAGCTTTCCATCTGTACACTAAAATAAAGTATTAATACTGGGGCAAAGGGAGTATTTTCACCAAAACAATTGCTCTTTTAACATTCTTAATACTCTTAACTGACTTATTGCAGATAATATGTTACCTAAAATTTGTGTTCAAATGACTTACTTCTTGGCATTGGCATATGCTGATAAGCTGAGATCAACATCAACAAGCAATGGCTTATTTTTCTGAGGCTTCTGCAGCTGTTTGTTCTTTTGCTTTTTCTTTTTTCCTTTTGGTGGTTCAGTTTCATTTTTCTCAACACTGACATCACCATCAACATCGTCATCTTCCTCCTCTGATAATAAGTATGGATTTCTATTAAAAATATTCAATAGTATTTCACTAATGTCAATGACATCACTTTTTTATTTTCATTTTTTTTCCTCAATGAAATTATAAATGGCTTAAGTTTCATTACTTATTCTAGTGTAAATTAATTTTTTCTAAGAATAAATTTCGAAAGAAAAAAATTAAAATTTATTTAATTTATTTAAATAACAAAATAAAGATAAGCACTGACTACTTAACTAAGAACCAAACTTACCTTAGCAGCATTGTAACATGATTTGTTTGTAGTTTTAATTCTTTGATTGCACTTGCAACAGGGTCTCCTTGAGCTTGGGCTTCTTTCACGATTACCCCGATTTCTGTCCAATCTATCTGGTTGGCTAAAGCACTTCGAACTACCTGAATGGCTCTGTCAACTATCTGTAGGTTCATTTCTATGAGTTCTCCTTTCAGTTTGTCTATTTCCTTAAAAAATAAACCAAATACATATACTATAATGCCAGTTGAGGTTATCATTAAAAAAAAAAAAAAAAACATGAAAAAGCTAAACACAATACCTGAGCCTGTTGAAGAGCTTCTAATCTGTTTTCGTGATCCTTTCGGACATTATCTAATTTCTTCAGTGCTTGTTTTTCCTTTTGGTGACAAAACACACTTAAAAATTAGATTTCTCCTACTTTATGGCACTTTCTCTTAACTCCTAAAATTCACTATTCTGGTCCCACCTCTGCCGCCTTAATGTCATTTAGCTAGCTCAAGTTCCCCCTAGTCCATTTTTCCACCAGAAAATGTTCCATGCTCCAAAATTCCTTCTCTCCCTCTCCTCATATACCTCCTGTGCCCTACACAGGAAGGTGTTCTGATTAAAGGTTACATTAAATTATAAGATATGCCCTTTGTCATTATTCAAACAGAATTCAAAACATTCTTTTCCTATGACATAAAAGTAAAGTTTGGTAGAATAAATTCTTAAAGAGCAGAAATTACCAAACACCTTTTTATTTTATTGATACATTACATTTTCTCAATATTATTGCCAATATTTTACAGAGCACTTTCCTCCTAAATTAGAAATACAAAGTTTTATGGTGGTTATCTGACCTTCTATATAGCATTTTATCATATCGAATTTACATTTCAAGGGGCTGGGGTTTTGGCTCAGTGGTAGAGTGCTCGCCTAGCATGTGTGAGGCTCTGGGTTCGATCCTCAGCACCACATATAAATAAATGAAATAAAAGTAGTGTGTCCAACTACAACTAAAAAAATAAATAAACATTAAAAAAAAGAATTTACATTTCAAGGTTGACTTGGGGACAAACTTTCTAATAATATTAACAACACCAAAAATTAGTGAATATTAAAATGTGAGATGAAATACCAAAAAAGATTTACAAGAATACTATTAAAAGAACCCATGAAGATTACCAAAATAAATTAATGTTTGGGACCAGAAGTAGTTCAGATTTTAAGTTTCCTGGATTTTTTAATATTTGCATGGACTTTACCAGCTGTATAGCCCTAACACGAAAATCTGAAATCTATATCTTCCTGGGCACCAATGACACTCAAAAAGTTTCAGATTTTTGGGCTGGGGTTGTGTTAAGTGGCAGAGCACTTGCCTTGTACAGGTGAGGCACTGGGTTTGATCCTCAGCACCACATAAAAATCAATAAGCGAATAAAATATTTTTTTAAAAAGTTTCAGATTTTAGAGCATTTCAGGTTTTCAGATTAGGGATGCTCAATTTGCAGTTTTTATTTTTAAATTTTTTTAATATTTATTTTTTAGTTTTAGGTGGACACAACACCTTTATTTTACATTTATGTGGTGCTAAGGATCGAACCCAGTGCCTCATACCAGCGAGCACTCTACCACTGAGCCACAATCCCAGCCCCTTATTTTTAATTTTTAATCTGAAGCCAGGCACAGTGGTACCTGTCTGTAATCCAGCAACTCAGAGGCTGAGGCAGGAAGATCACAAGTTCAAGGTCAGCCTCAGCAACTTAGCAAGCCCTTAAGCAACGCAGTAAAAAGGGCTGTGGATGTAGCTCAGTGGTGAAGCACTCTTGGGTTCAGTTCCCAGAACAACAACAAAAAAATTTTTTATTCTTTCAATCTGTATTTTTGATGCACATAAAAACATGGGTATCAATGTTACTGCTAAGCATTTGTTCGTCAGCCAAAGTACTATGTAATCCATTTAATTACCTGCTTTGATATTGAACTTACTATTAACTATTTTTTTAAAACTAAACAGGAGGGGGTACATAACCTGAAATTTTTGCACATATATTTTAAGACTTGAATTTTTAAAAAATCAAGTCTCTTTAAAAAATCAAGTCTTTTCTAAATCAAGAATGACTATTATCAATTCTTGAAACGTTCTGCCAGCACATACTCTAAAAATATGGTCAGATGGGGCTAGGGTTATAGCTCAGTGGTAGAATGCTTGCCTGGCACATGTGAGGCACTGGATTCAATATTCAGCACCACATAAAAATAAATAAGTAAAATAAAGGTATTGTGTCCATCTACAACTAAAAACCAAAACCAAACAAACAAACAATAAAAAAACCATGGTCAAATGTGTTGGAAAAACATTGCATATTAAATCCTCCTCATGGAGTCACAATACACCGAAAATTAAAGGTCTAGCTTTAGCTGGGCTTGGTGGCACACACCTGTAATTCCAGCTATTTCAGAAGCTGAGGCAAAGGGATCCTAACTTTGTGAGCAGCCTTGGCACCTTATGGAGACTCTGTCTCAAAATTTAAAAAATAAAAAGGGATGTGGATATAGCTTAGTGATAGAGCACACCTTGGTTCGAAAGGAAAAAATTCTGAAGAAAATACAAGACCTAGTTTTATTAAAGTCCTAAAAAAAAAAAAAAAAAAAAAGAGTTTATGACAAATAGGGAACAGTTGTAGCTTAGTGGTAGACTGCACAGCATGCAGGAAGCCCTGGGTACAATCCCTAGCACCAAAACACCAAATCAAACTAAACCAAAAAACAATGATAAATAAGTCATTAATTTAATAATACCATACCTGTTGTAAAGCTTTTAAATCAATTTTTTGACCTTCTATCTTCGAATAAAATTCATCCACGGCCTTATTAAAGAAACAAATACACACTAGCTATAAAAACAGTATGGTCTCTACTTTAAATGTACACAGAATTTCTCAAAGAACTTGACAACATTTCTACTCCATGTATTAATACATGTAGTTCATGTATTAAAGAGCTAAACTGTTCAAGTCTTTGGTCCTTCCCTTCAAATAAAGTGGCAACAATTGTTTCCAGGAACTGTATCTATGACTGTATTGATTTTTAATGCCCAGATTCATAGCAAAAAGAATATATTCGATTCTCAATCAAAGCAGGCTGGTATTAAGACCTCATATCATTTCAGTATTTCAAAGTGACAAGAATATGTTAAATTCTTAATCAAAGCAAGCTGATATTAACACCTCATATCATTTCAGTATTTCTGAGGAATATATGGACTTTTTCAGAAAAGTATTTGTGAAATAATATAAAGTGCTCAAGTTTTTTTTCTGATCAAAAAACAGAACTAGAAAACCCACCTTGTCAAATGATTCAAATTCTATATATGGACATTGTGAATGTTGAGAAAACAAGAAAGGATGAAATTCCTCATACCTGTAAAACATATTTATTATATCACATTCAAGAACATTAATAAAGATCCAAAGCAAGTTGATCCATGCCTACATGCTTACGTGAGTATATCTTCAACTGGTTTATCTACTTCCAGGCTTGGTTTTATTTCTCTTTTCTGAATGATATATCCCTACAAAAATCCAATAATAAAATTATTTCTATTAATCATTAGTACAGATTTTCTTTCCACGACTAACATTTTTATTAATTTTTGTAAGTAAATATGTACTATGATTAGAGAAGAAAAATACTTATAAAGTATGAGGTAATTTTAAAACTGTTTAAATATTACAGATATGTAAATCACCAAATTACGGGAGTTGGAGATGTGGCTTAGTAGTAGAGTGCTTGCCTCGCATGAGTGAGGCCCTGGATTCAATTCTCAGCACCACAAAACAAAAACAATAATTCACAAATTCAACTTTTCTGGAGTACTTTACATAGTACTTTCTATAAAAGGAGAACAAATATTATAAATCCATACCAATTATAAAAACTATCCTGGGACTGGAAGTATAGCTCAGTGGTATAGCATGTACTTAGCATGGTTTGAGGTTATGGGTTGTTCAATCCTCAGCACCCAAAATAAACCACAACCAAGAGAAGAAAAATCTTACCCTGGAATAAGTATATCACAAATATCATTTTTAAAATATTAGAACAATAAAATATACGTATATTAATCCTTAAATGAACATTTAATTTCTAGAAAATCAAAATAAATGAAACATGGTGTAAAATGGTGTTACCTTTCCACTGAAGTTGGATGTTGTTTTCATATATTCTTCTGCCTTCTGCAGACAAATGAGTACTTTTTCAATATCTAATGGAATAAAAAAAGAAAAATGAGTGCCAATCAAGTGTCAATTAACCAATTAACCATTAACAACTATGTAGAAAAGCAGAAAAGTATTTAAAAAATAATGTAAAGTGTTCAAGAAAATTAGGTATAGTTGTTTAATCAGTTTATATAAATAAGGTTATATCTTGGTCAGTCTATTACTGAATAAGTCATCTTTCCCTCCATGATCTGAAAAGCACTTTATTCAAACTAATTTCCTATATATATTTGAGCATGTTTCTAGATTCTTTATTCTGACTATTCGTTCTCTAAAAAGTTACTGTTTAAGTCACTGTAACTTACTATTATATTTTAATCTGTGAAAAGGTTATACATACAGTAATAATAATAACAAATCACTATTTTAGAGCTTTCTTACATGTTTTCACATGCTTTTGTTCCAGATGAGTATCAGATTCATTTTATTAAAACAAAACAAAAATACCTCTTTATTAGCATTTATATAATTAATAAAAATACCTTTATTATCATTTTGGAGGGGAGAATATACTGATTTAGTGTATTTCAGAAACTTAAACACTCAATTTACATTTTTAAACACAAATTATTCCTAAACCTTAAGAAATGATATACCTATAATATAAACAACAAGAATGATTTTTCAAATATTGCACAAGAAAAAAAATTACACAAGTATAAGTTGAATTTTGTTAAATACCAAATCTTATATTTTCCTAATGTTTCCTCTATTTTACTTCCTAATCTGGCAGTTAAATTAGGTTCCCTAGGTAGTTACAAAAGCCTACTTCAATCATATGGCCACACCACAGAATTACAGAGATCCAAATATATGAATAATGCTGTTTCTAGAAGCACTGCATGTTCTAGGTTTTAAGGCTACTATATTCATCTCTTTGAGACTCTAATTGTCCCAAGCTGAGCCAGTCCAAAATCTTAGGGGACAGAAAGAAAATATTCTAAAGTGAAAAGTTTTCAAGATTGAACTGGCTAGTAGGTAAGGTGCACACTTATAATCCAAGCTACTCAGGAAACTGAGACAAGAGGACATCATGTTTAAGGCCAGCCCAGGCAACTTAGCAGAAACATCTCAAAATAAAAAATAAAGGGCTGGGGAAGTAGCTCATTGGTAAAGTACCTCTGGCCTCAATCCCCAGTACCAGAGAAAAGACAAAAAAGTGTGAGATTGAACTGCAAATTACCAAGGATAAAGCTACACAGTGGAGAAGGACAGGAATACCCACATGCATATGACACTCATAAGTCAAAGTTTTTTAAGTCTAGAATTATCTATTCATTTATTACTTTATCAGAAATAACCTTCAAAGTTTTTTGTTTTTTTTTTCAGTGATGAGGACTGACATGCTATGCAAGTGCTCTACCACTGAGCTATATTCTCAATTCAAATTTTCAGTTTTTAAAAAAGGATATAAATGGGGGATGAGGGTGTGGCTAAGTGGTAAGGTGCTTGCCTAGCATGTGCAAGACCTGGATTCAATTCTCAGTACTGGGGGGAGGAGGGGACAGATGAAAATGGACAAAACTTCAAAACTTGTACCATGCACATACCTTTACTTTCAAGTTTTTCATCCACTTTGACGTTGCCAGAGAATCCATTTTCTATAAGACAGTGCTCAATGAGAGCTGGCCCATAGGCTATAAAAGCAGAGAGAACTATTTTTACTATTTTCCTATAAAATTAAATAAAAAATGTAGTACAAATTTACATCCAAATAAGAATGATCTAATCAATAAAAGAAGCCAATGAAAATAATAGTGAATGTACTTATTTTGAAGTATGATCCAAAATAACAATGAAGTATCACAAGAATTTAAAATTATAATAAACTTAGAGAAATCAGGTTAAGTTATAGGACTATAATAGTATTTAGCCACATATGAAATGATTACAAACTATGACCAGGGGGATTATCACTGGAATGCAAGGTTGGTTTAGCATCTAAAAACTGGTTTAATGTCCACATTAAAAATCAGGCAACAGGGGCTGGGATTGTGGCTCAGTGCTAGAGCACTTGCCTATGATGCATGGGGCACTGGGTTCGATCCTCAGCACCACATAAATGTAAAATAGAGATATTGTGTCCACCTAAAACTAAAAAATAAATATTTTAAAAAAAAAATCAGGCAATAGCTGGGCATGGTGGCAGACAACTGTAATTCCAGTGACTCGGGAAGCCGGGGCAGGAAGGTTGCAAGTTCAAGGCCAGCCTCAGCAACTTAGTGAGACCCTCAGCAACTAAGCAACACCCTGTCTCAAAAAAAAGAAAGAACTGGGAATGTATCTCGGTGGCAAAGCACCCCTGGGTTCAATTCCCAGTACTGGAAAGAAAAAAAAAATCTTTAAAAATAAAACAGATCATTATTAAAAGATAATTTTTAAAAATATCATTTTAAACTCCTTGTTCATATTTTAAACCAGAACCATAAAAAATTTAGATATAGTCCTGAAAATCACATTATCTTACAAACATTTCATTGCTATTATAGGATTACTCACGAAGTAATGGGTTAAGAATTCTCTTCAGTAGTTCTCCTTTAGGTGCACTGGCTATTACTTCAGTCAATCTGTGAAACAAATTGATACAACTCTTACTGTCTTATATTAAAAAAAATTATAGCCTTGTTCACATTCACACTGCTTTCACCTGCATCAATTGACCTCATCTTTATAATACTCTGCAATTAATAGAAATTAGTTCTCTTGTAAGTGAGGAAATGAGTTCATAAAAGTAGTTTATCTCAATCAGCAGCCTGGGAGTTGAACCCAGGTTTTCTAACAGAAATCAACTAAGACACACTCCTTATCATCAATTTGCCCACATATGTGTCATGAAAGAGACATTTTTATGTCAAATGTCCTTTGTAAATCATCATGCTGTATCTTAATATCTAAAATGGCTTTACCTAATTAATTTAATAAAAACTCTTAAGGATCCTGTGGATCAGTGTGATCACCAGATTAGCATTATCTGAGAACTTGTTAGAAATGCAGATTCCTGAGCCTTACATGAGGAATTAGCAAAATGGAGCAATCTATGTTATAACAAGCCTTTCAGGAGATTCTGATGCTTGCTACACTTTGAGGACCACTACCGTAGACTATTTGTCAGCAAAAGCCTTCAAGCCAGAAAAGTACAACTATAATCACCTTATACCACCTTAGTTCCCTTTTTCCTAAGTAAAACAAAAATTCTCTCTTTGCATTCTGCCCAGGATGTCCATCTGCCTTCTCACAGAACAAGAGTTGTCCCCACTCTTTACCAAGAAATCATAAATATCTGAAGTAACCCAAAACTTAGTTTAAAAGACATGTATTTGTAGTTCAAGTAGTCCAAATTTAGTTGTTATCCAAGTAAACAAAGTATTTTTTATCTGACAGTTTTTCATATTCTGAAATATAACTATTTTTATCTTTTAATACAATATGAAATGAGTTTAAAACAAAAGATGTTACCTTTCCAAAGTAAGCAAAGGTTCAGCAGCTCTAGCATGATCAACTGGATAGCGTTCACGAACAGCAAATTTAACATCATCTGCCTCATCAGTTCGAAACCTTAGAATATTTAAAACTAGGTACTCATAATCTGTAAGAACAATGTTCCCCTGCAATAGAGTAAAATATAATTTAATGCTTTTTCAAAATAGTCATGAAACTTCTTAAAAAGGATGTAGTCTCTTAACAACCTTATTGAGGTTACAAAAATGAAGTTATAAAACAAAATACACCAAAGTCACATCTAAACAATCCTCCTTGAACCTGCCCAGCAGACTGTGAAACAAGATAAACAAATTCTAAAGACCCAAGTTTGAAACAGTGAAGGTATCTAGAGCAACATCAAATTCACTGTCTGACGCTATTACAGAAGTACTAGCAGAAGCACAATCATTTATTAACACCTTGACAACTACTAGGGGACCTCATGTTTATATTTGCATGAGCCAGGATATAAGTACTGACTTATTAAGAAAAATAAAATATATATTTTAGAAGCCAAGCAAAGAGCTATTATACTTTCACCTACAATTCGTCTTTTAATAACAACAGTTATGTGGTCTAATGTAGCCTAATGAATTAACTCAATAAACCCAAAGCTACATGCTTAAAGATGTTCACTGAAATTTATTTATAATAGAGGGGGAAAAAAAAGAAGAAATAGTCTACGTGTAAACATCTGGGAAATTATTGTGTTTGTTTTGTTGGTACTGAGGTTTAAACTCAGGGCCTTGTGCATGCAAGGCAAGCACTGTACCAACTGAGCTATATCCCCAGCCCCAGAAATTGCTAATTATGATAGATCAATTTAACAATAAATAGTAAAATGTTATTACCTTATGAAGACTATGTTTAAAAAAAAAACATTTTAATATTTAAATGTATATTTGAATGTGTAAAAAGAAGTAGTAGTAAGACATGGGCTGGATGGGCTGGATATGTAGTTCAGTGACACAGTGACACTTGCCTAATATGTACAAGGTTCAGAATTCAGTCCCCAGCACCACAGAAAGAAAAAAAAAAAGTCAGCAAAACACACAAAAAATTCTGTGGAAGGAGAAGGTATATGTAGGCAAAATGAAATTATTTACTAAAGATTTACAATTAAAGACTTAATTTCAACAAATGAATTATAGCTGGGCATGGTGACATACACCTGTAATCCCAGCAGCTTGGGAGGCTAAGGCAGGAGGATGGCAAATTCAAAGCCAGCCTCAGCAACTTAGTGAGACCCTGTCTCAAAATAAAAAATGAAAAAGGACTGGAGATGTGGCTCAGTGGTAGAGCACCCTTGGATACAATCCTCAGTCCCTATACCCCCGAAAAATCCATGAAATTATTAGGGCTAGGGACAGTGGTAGAGCACTTGCCTACTAGTATCCTAGCATGCATGAGGACCTGAGTTCAATACCTAGCACAGTCAAAAACAAAACCAAACAAACTAATGAAGTTTAGAATTAAAATTTAATGTTACTATATAACCTTTTTGGTAAAAAAGGGAGGACTTAATGAAGATAAAACTTCTCCCAAAATACAACCTTACAAATTTATTAGAGTGAAAATAAATTTAAATTTTAAACATTAATTTTAACTTAAAGAATATAAAATTAACTGGAGCCTGGGGGTAATGCCACATGCTTGTAATCCCAGTGGCTAGGGAGGCTGAGGTAGGAGGATTGCAAGTTCAAAGCCAGCCTCAGTAACTCAGCAAGGCCCTAAGCAACTCAGCAAGATTCTGTTTCTAAATAAAGTATAAAAAATGGGGGGCTGGGGTTGTGGCTCACTGGTAGAGCGCTTGCATCACATGTGTGAGGCACTGGGTTCAATTCTCAGCACCACATATAAGTAAATGAATAAAATAAAGGTCCATCAACAACTAAAAAAAAATTTTTTTTTTAAATGGCTGGGGCTGGTAATGGTGGCACATGCCTGGAATCACAGCGATTTGGGAGGCTGAGATAGGAGGATCACAAGTTCAAAGCCAGCCTCAGCAACTCAGCAAGACTCTATCTCTAATAAAATATAAAAATAAAAAGGGCTGCAGATGTGGCTTGGTAGTAAAGCATCCCTAGGTTCAATCCCTGGTATTTAAAAAAAAAAAAAGGGGGGGGGGTAAGGATGTTGCTCAGTGGTTAAGCACCCTTGGTTCAATCCTCAGTACCAAAAAAAAAAAAAAAAAAAAAAAAAGTTAACTGGAAAAGGAAAGTAAAGGGCTTATAAAGAAGTTCTGATAGTGTCTGGTTAAGATATGATATGAAGAATAAAAGGTCACAGAGCCTGCAACATAAAAGGTATTCAAAATTTGATTTCTTTGATCAAATTATACAGTTATCAGGAACATCTAAAGGATTCCAATAAGGAAGATTATGTCCCTGAAAGGGTTTTCCTTAATGCAAAGTTTCCTAAAAGTACTTCATAACATGGGTTTCCTTACCTTCTATTAAAAACAATTCTGTGATCAAGTAAGTTTTGGAAATTCTACTTAACACTTCCTTCTGTAAGAAATGTACCCATCGCATTATCATATTAAAAGGACTAATAAGTACTAAAGTGAAAAAAATTTAATCTTACTTTATTCTCAGGGTTCCTCAAACTTTCATGCCTATTGAACCCATTTTTCTAGACACCCCTATTATCTTACAGGATACAGTATCTAAGGAACATAGTTTGGGAAATACTGCACTTGATTCTGATATACTTAATAAGCCACTTTCTGGTCTTGTTTCCCAGAGTCTTTCCTATTGCTAACTTAATAAACCTACTTTTTTTTTTTTTTGGTACTGTGAATTGAACCAGGGGTGCTTAACGACTGAGCCACCTCTAGCCCTTTTTATTTTTTATTTTGAGACAGGCTGTCACTAAGTTGCTGAGGCTAGCTTTAAACTTGGCAATCTTTCTGCTTCAGCCTCCCAAATTACTGGGATTAAAGGCATGTGCCACTGCATCTGGCCTAAATATACTTTCTTAAATGTGTGAGTAGCAATAAGCTTTCCTCAAAGTCTGACCAACTCTAGAAGCACCACACATCAAAACTTCAGACATGCCAGGCATGGTGGCACACACCTCTAATTCCAGCAACTCATGAGGCTGAGGCAGGAGGACTACAAGTTCAAGGCAGGCTTCAGCAATTTAGCAAGGCCCTAAACAATTTAAGAAGACCTTGTTTCAAAATAAAAAGGGATGCTGTGATGTCCCTCACCACACTACATCCTCAGTCCTTTAATTGTGTGTCGGGGGCCTCCATGAACAGGAGCTGAGTACAACTCTTAGTCTTGAGCGACAGAGGTGTAGAACTGGCTTCTGCTCACAGGGCAAAAGCAGATGGACCTCACCTTCACTTGGCAAGGAATTATACAGCTCTGGGAGTGAGCCTCACCACCCTGAAACCCAATCCCTTGCCTCATTTGGGTGGAACTTTCTCAAGTGTCTTCCCCTCAATAAATAGGATGGTTTCAGGCGTGCTCTCTCTCTTTCTAACAGACCCTTAAGTTAGAGAGCCATCCCTGATTCCTGCAAGCAAAAGGTAAAAATAAATAAATAAATAATAAAAAGGGATGGGAATGTAGCTCAATAGTTAAGTGTCCCTGGGTTCCATCCTTAGTACCAAAAAAAAAAAAAAAAAATTCCAGGCCAACAATTCAAAAAATAAAATGTTTTTCTTTTTTTTTTTTAAGTTGTAGATGGATACAATACTTTTATTCTATTTATTTTACTTGGTGCTGAGGATTAAACCAAGTGCTTCACACGTAACAAGAAAGCACTCTACCACTGAGCTACAACCCCAGCTCTCAGGATCAATTCTTAAGCATCAACCAACATACCTCTCACAGATACCACAATGACTATGGAAAAATCCCAAGCACACTCTCTCATATATAAACCCTTAAAAACTATTCCAAAATCATCACTAATTGGACCTTTGCAACCCAGACAGTATGCATCCTACTGCTCAGAGCCTTCAAATGGAAAGGCCCTAAATACAACTGGGTATCCTGGAACAGAAAAACTATGAGAATGAAGAAACAATATTATGTACCAATGTTAATTTCTTAGTTGTGACAAATATTCTATAAGATATTAACATTCACAGAAGCTAGGTGAAAGGTTACAGGAACTTTTTGTGTTTACAACTTTTCTATAAGTAAAATTATTTAAATAAATAGATTCTTTTAGGGCAGTGGCAGAGCACTTGCCTAGCATGTGTGAGGCACTGGGTTTAATCCTTAGCACCACATAAAAATAAACAAAATAAAGGCATTCTGTCCATCTACAACTACAAAATCAATCAATCAATCAATTAATCAACCTACCTTAGATTACTATTATTACTACTACTACTACTACTACTACTGACTACACAAATGCATACTATGGAAAAAATGTTTACATATAATTATTATGGCATTTATGATGATTATATAATGGGTATTTTTTTGAAGGATAATTTAATTTTTTCATCATATAACCATCATAAAATGCTCATTTAAAGAGTTTTGTTGAATTAAGAGAAAGAGAATGCCAAGTATTAGCAAAAATATGGAGCTAACAAAACTCAACATATCAGTGAAAATAACATTGTGTGGAACATAATGAATACCTCAAATATTGAATAAAAGGCAGATCCCAAAATGAATAGAATATAGATTCTATTCCTTTACCCCATCCCTCAAATTTTACTTACCCTATCATAGAGTTCAATGATTAAATGATAAGCAGCTTCATCACTTCCAAATTGAAAATCTACAATTCTATCCACACCAAGCTGTTTTGCACTGACTAACCTCCGACTCTTCAAATGTTTTCGGCACTAGCAAGAAACAGGAAAAAAAGGAATTTATGAGGTAAAAGTAAATTTCTGTTTGGTACTGGTTCTTTTCATTACCATCAGGAATAATATTTAAATGGTAGTAAAACAGTGTAGTCATAAAACAAAAGTTTGTTGATGACAAAGGAAAAAATTCAAGACAACTAACTGCTAATTCTGAAATTGCATTTTATATTCAAAATTTTAAAATAACAGACCTATAGCAAAATATGCTTTGCTCATATAGCACTGGCAAATAAATACCTTGATATGACTTCACAAAAAAAAATATTTTTTTTTTTTTTTTGGTGCTGCATGTCAAACTCAGGGCCTCTAACACTCTGCAGATACTCTACCACTGAGCTAGATTCCCAACCTCTTCATGTTTTTAAAGTCTTTTCCTATGCCAATCTGTTAAGTATCCAAATTTCTTTTTGTGTGCTTCATTGTTTTCCAATTTTTTCCCACTGATCTTCTACTTTAAATATGAAATATAGATCATGAATTTATGGTACACTGAAAATTTAATCCCCCTACTTATATCCATTTATCTTCTATTCAACCTTTTGATTAATCTATTTCATATCCAAATATACTAATTCCCATTCTTTATCAAATGCAATTTCTTCTATCCCTAGCCATAAGGTTCTTTTCCTTATTGACAATTAAAATAAAATTAGCAAGATCCAGTCAAAAGAAAAGAAAGGAAGAAAAAGACAGACAAGGTTAAAATGAAAAGTCATCCTAGAAAGGACAGCAGTTTACACCATGGAAAGGTGAAATAGAGATTCTTGATCATGGTAAATACAAATAGTTATATATTACATTCATAAAGCTTGGTTTTTTTGTTTTTTGGTGGTTGTTGTTTTTTTTTTTGTTTTTTTTTTGGTAGTACTGTGGATTGAACCCAAGGGCAATTTACCATTGAGTCACATCCTTGTCCTTTTTATTCTTTGAGACAGGATCTTGCTAAATTGTCTCAGTCTCCCAAATTGCTGGAATTACAGGTGGGCACAATTATGCCCAGCTCCAAAGCTTGTTTTCTTTCCCTACAACAGCATAGTGAAAACAATCTTCTCCTCACTGCCAAAGAAGTATAGTTGGCAACCACAAATATAAGAACCAGGAACAATCATTGTGATTTACCACATACTAGGCCTGACCCTGCCTATGCCAAACAACAGTTAACAGCTCTTTATTTATAAAGTGTTAAACACTGTCTGCTCCATTGGAGAAAATCTTTCAACACATTTAAATTGACAAACACATCAAAATCAGAATTCTAAGGAAGTTTTTTTTCCTCGTCGTTTCAAGAGTGCCTGGCCCTTATGAATGTGGCCTGATTTGGAAATGTTCCCATGATCTACTGTCATCTCTTTAACTGTCCTGTTAACTCATCAGTAAAACTGATAATATTCGTTCCTTATATTCCACTGTGTTGCTAAGCAACTTAGATAAAATACATATTTATCTATGTTAAAAAGTACTATATAAATTCAAAGAGTCAACCAAGGGTGGCACATGCCTACAATCCCAGTATCCAAGCACCTTGGACTTGGAAGGCTGAGGCAGAAGGATCTCAAGTTTGAGGCCAGCCTGAGAATGTAGTGAGATGATGTTTCAAAATGAAATAAAAAGGGTTGGGGATGTAGCTCAGAAGTATCACTGTTATCAAGGACAGCTCCAAACACCCACTTTGGGTTAGTATTAAGTAAACTAAATGTCAATAGCTGGGCCTGCTGGTACATGTCTTTAATTCCAGAGACTTGGGAGACTGCGTCAGGAAAATTAAAAGTTGTAGGCCAGCAACTCAGTGAAACCTTGTCTCACAAATAAAATAAAAAAGGGCTGAGGATGTAGCTGGTACTGGGGTTCCATCCCCAGTACCCCCCATAAATAAATAAATACATAAAATAAACTTTAATAATTTAATAACTTTGTGAAAGCTCTTATAAAATGGGAAACACCTAATCTTTAATGAAAAACAGATTCTAAATTGCTGGGGGTAAAGTTCTTCTCTATAGTCTCTACTGAAATAATACAATGCCATAAAAAATTTCTAAAGAACAGGGGAGAAGAAGGAAATTAACACATATGCAACTCTAATACGTGTCAAGCATTGTGTTAGATACTTTACCTGTTACTTCAATTAATTCTCATCAATAACTCTGAGGGAGTTACTAACCACATTTTACACTTAAATAAACTAAGTTCTGAAAGGTTAAATAAGTTTTACAGGTTAAAAAAATATTTAGTGGCAAATTAATTAATTCAAGTTTAGGTATATCTAACTCAAAAGTCAGTCTTCTATATATCACATGAATTTTTAATATATAGTTGTATCATGGGTAATATATAGTTGTATCATGGCTGTGTATGCCTGTAATCAATCCTAGCTACTTGGTAAGCTTAGGCAGGAGAATCACAAGTTTCAGGTCAGTCTGGGCAATTTGGCAAGACCCTGTTCCAAAATAAAATAAAGAGTAAGGGTGTAGCTTAGTGCCTGCATAGCATGTGCAACGGTTCAATCCATAATGCTCCCCATCTTCCCCCCACATACACAAAAAGGATCACATGCCCACAAACGTAAAAATCTCAATTTTAATACTAAAAACAAAAAGAGAAGTGAAAAATAACAAGATTTAATGACTTGGTAACTTTTTTTTTTAAATTTTTAGTTGTAGATGGACATGACACCTTTGTTTATTTATTTTTATGTGGTGCTAGGGATCAAACCCAGTGCCTCACACATGCTAAGCAAGTGCTAGGTGAATGCTCTACCACTAAGCCACAACCCCAGCACCTTGATAACATATTAATATCATTAAGTATTCTAGCAAAATACAGATCAGGAAGAGGGATACAGTCCACAAAGGTGAGCTCTAGGTGATAAGACTAGGGGGGAAAAACGGGGAGGGGCTGATCACAGAAAGCCAACAATGTCAGGATACTGAGTATGAATTCAGAAATTAGAGCATCATATCAGGTGAGATAACTAATGAAAATGTTTAGCGTGCTACAGCGGTACGCACCTGTAATCCAGCAGTTTAGGAGGCTGAGACGGGAGAATGGCAAGTTCAAAGCCAGTCTCAGCAAGTCAAGGCACTAAGCAACTGAATGAGATCCTGTCTCTAAATAAAATACAAAATAGGGCTGGGGATGTGGCTCAGTAGTTGAGTGCCCCTGACTTCAATCGTAATACCCTCCTAAAATAAGAAAATTAATGTTGTCTAAGAGAATTGTTTTGAAGGAGAGAAGAGGAGTACAGTTAAGGGGCTAAACAGTTGGTTGGGATAAAGACTGAACTGGAACTTGATTGTGGAAACAGAAAAAAGACTTGCAAGATAACAGGGAGAAGTCAATAAACACCTACTTTGTTCATCCCATTACCTATTAACTATTCCCTCTACCTTTATCTGTGTTTTATTCATAACAGCATAGAAAACCCAAACAGTTTAAAAACTCAATTATTAGTTATCAAGTCCTTAAAATTTAGCTCCCAACATAACTTAAAATTTACCTTCATGGCAAAACTAGATGGCATCATATTCTTTGGCCATTCAAATTCTGTTGTGTGAATCCGTATGCCAGATTCAAGTAAAAGCGTTGCTTTAAAATCTGGTCTATAGAAGAAAAAAAGTCAAATTTTTAAGGGAATTTGCCAAAGTTTACTCTATAAAACAGATATAAAATGTGGATAAGACAATCAAAAATCTCATAATTACCAAAGAGAAAACAAACCTATAAAATTTTCTTACTTTTGAAGACGAATAAGATATGTCTTATTATCCACATCATAAACATTGTTTACTCTCATTCCTAGCAAGCTGAAAAGACAAAAGAAACATGTAACAAAACACACTATTGTTTGAAACATAAAACTACACACAGTTTAATTAAAGCTGCAAAACAGGAATTCTTCAGCTTTAACAAAGTGGGAGTCCAGAGACCATTAAGGCATTCTGTCCGAAACTTAAAGCGTAACCACTTAAGCACAGAAGTGGTCTGTCAGCCCTGGGAACACCATAAAATGCCTCGCGTCGTTGAAATAACTCACTCCTTTGGGGCGGGGGGTATAGTAAAATGTAACCAATTTATGACAAAAAGAGGAAAAAGACAAACGAGGCCCCCGGAAGTATGACAAAGGTCACACAGATGAATAATACGAAACAAGACCGGAATCCAGGTCTCAGTCCACATCTGCCAATGCCAGTTGAAACAGCAAGGTTAGCTTTCTCTGGCGTGAGGGCTGTTGAGGAAACCAGGCCTCCAATCTGGAAACCAAAACCAGAGGACCAACTGGCGTCTCCGGTTATTCCAAACATTTGCTGCCAGACCAGGGTCGACAAGGCGAGAGCGCCGCAATAGCGGGTAAAGAGACCCGGCGGGACAAAACAGGGCGCAGAGGGCTGGGGAAGGGGTCCTCGGTCCCTGGGGCCTCCCGGGTGTCCTGAGGGCAGCAGCAAAGACGCCACGCACTAGCCCACCCGGGCCTAACCAGGTCCACAGAACAGACTGGAAGGCAATAAGGGGACACATCAGGCTGGTCTTGTTTTCAACGTGGGGCCCCTGATCTGCTTCCTGCAGTTCTAGCAGGAGCCTAGCCACCTACAGGACCGTACCTAGCATTCAGCTCCGCCAATACGGCTCGGAGGTCAATCGTGCTAAAGCGCGTCTTCATGGCGAGGCGTTGAATGTCGCTACCGCAGTTTTCTCCGCTGCCAGCCTGACTCGACACCGCTACTCTTCCGCGCAGGCGCACTTGAAGGAGACCTACGGTCGCCCTGAAGACCCAATATTCATTGAAGGGAACCCGTTTGCGTATTTGTCTGAAGAATTCAACTATTAAATTACAATCGACTCGCTTTTTGTTACACCAAAACAATTCGAAATAAATAGATACAAACTGTTCTCATAAATCTGCATCCCTTCCTCGAACATTTACGGGCCACTCTGGTTACCCTGTCCCCTGGTTTTGGAACTCAATCCAGCCTCCATAGTGACTCCTGCTGGTCATAACAATTTTTAAGGGGATAGGGTAGACGATAGGGCTCAGTATAGAAAAGCAATGACCCTGGATTACTTAAACGTGTCGAATTTGTAAATGTACGGAAGCCGAACTGTTTCATTCGTCCTAAGATTGTCTTCCACGATCGAGGAGAAGCCTGAAAGAGAAGTTACTATTTTCATGGGTACTGCTCTCCGAAAGAGCATTTTGCCTCATCCAATCCTGGTCTCGGTATCCCCAAGACTCAGTGTAGAATCTGGTATACAACTGGGGCTTCATGAATTCTCGTTACCCTGAATAGTCAAGTGTTTCACTAGATAATGATGAAGTAAGATAAACCTAAAAATAAGATTTCTCACTTAGTGGGGCATGGAGGATGAGACAATGTGTGAAATTAATAGTCATGCAAAAAAATATATAAATAGGCAAGTTTTGGTTGTCTTAGGGTAAATTCATGGGAAGAAAGACCACTTTAATTGAGAACTCAAAAGACCCGGGTCTCATTATGTTGCCTAAGTTGAGCCGCAGTTATCTATTGACCACTGCAATCCCGCTGTTGATCAGCACGGGAGTTTTTATTTATTTTGTTCCTGGTGATTGAACTTAACCACTGAACCACATCCCCAGCCCATTTGATTTCCCCGCACCCCGCCCCCAGACAGGGTTTCCCTAAATTGCTCAGGGTCTCTCTAAGTTGCTGAGGCTGGCTTTGAACTTGCAATCCTCCTGCTCCAGAGTCGCTGGGTTACAGGTGTTTCTGACTTGCGACCGTTTACCTCCTTAGGCAACCCGAAGGCCCCCAGCTCCTGGGCGGTCACCATGCATAGCGCACAACTCCTGGGGTCAAAAGATACCTCTGCCCTAGCCTCCAGGCATAGAGCAGAAAGCGCCTGAGCTGAGTTTGAGGGCCACACATCTCCGCAACTAGACTCTCTACCCATAGAAAGCGACCCTTAAGAAGAAAGGGCGTGGTATAGATTCAGAATAACCCAAGAATTATAGATGCAAAAGGGGCTACAGTACATATGGCACAACATAACTTTGTCATATGGCACAACATAACTTTGTCATATGGCACAGTAAACCAAACAGAATAGCTCACAATTTGTAATAAACCTTTGGAAGGTTTAAGAAAGATGAAGCCAAGATGATCCCAGTTCAAAGTGCCAAATTGAGAGGACTAATTGTACATAAAAGATACTAAGTTTACCAAGTTTGTTGGCCTGAAGTCCTTCCCAAACAAAAAGCTTTTTTCTTTTGGAAATAAAAGCGCCCATGAAAGACTCCATGTTAAAAAAGACAACACTCATGTGCTTCTTTAAAAATAAAAACTGGGATTGGGATGTAGCTCAGTACCCCACTGCCCACCCCCCCCCAAAATGAAGCACCTTATTACAAAACTCTCACCTTAGGACCCAAGACAGTAAGACAGATGTAAGATATCTGTTTAAGTTTTACATGGGAAAATTGACAATTGACAATTTACACGGGACATTGTTTATTGCTTTCATGTCTGTCAAGAAAAATTGGCATTAGAAGGTATGTGCAAGACTGTCTATAAGAGTAGAACAAGATAAATGTAAAGATCACAAGAAAACTTCATTATTTAGTACTGAATTGCATTGTTTCTATTTTTTATTCATTTCTCAGAAAATTCTGAATCGAAGATGCTTGAGGATTTGTGGGTAAATGAAAAGCTAACAGGAGATAGGCATGTCATCTTCAAATTTTCAAAGTGAATAGTTACTTGACCCCAAAAAAATTTGGAGGAAATTATTAATAGACCAGTTATAGGCACTGAGAGCTGTGATTCTCACACTTAAGTGTTCATTCAAAAATTCCTGGTATCATACCCAGAGTTTCTGATTCCTTAACTTTGGCTCAGAGTATGTGCATTTTCAACTGTGAAGATGAAAGGAACTTGTGACCTACAGGTATAAATACTATGAGTATTTATATGCTCTTGGAGATTCACTAACCTCTAGACAATCAAATAAAGACCACTGGGGTTTTTTCATAAAAAACAAGACATTTATTATTCTCACTTTCTACTCAACTTAGGGAAATGTTCACTGCCTATTCTCAGATGTTTTTATAATTGAGGTGAGTTCCATAACATACAATTCACCATCTTACCCATTTTAAAATGTACAATTCAGAAACTATTGAAATATTCATAGTGTTGTTAAATTGCCTCCATTATCTAGTTCCATAAAATTGAGGTGGATTTTTTTCCCCTGGGAAAAAACAGAGAACACATTTTGGAATAAACCAAATGCAACAATTCATTCCAGAAAGGATTGCAGATATTAGCGTCATGAAAGCTGCCTAGAGCTTTGAGTCCCTATGTAGCCAACTGCAACCTAACTTAGTATGTGAACAAACTGAAAGTCTAAGAATATATTTTTATAACAAATAGCTGTCTCAGCCAGTCCTAGTAGCTGAGCTCCAGTCAGTTACCAGCTGCTAACTCATCAGACTGTGTTCAAATAAGGAAAACACAGCTGTATCTGCACCTCACTTTCCTTTTCTGATGAATATTTCCTGCCCCCATCCCAGAGTTCTCTGAACCTCTTCTAGTTCCGAGTGCTGCATAATTCATGAATCATTCTTTGCTAAATTACTCCCTGATCAATTTAATTAGTCTAATGTTTTTCTTTTAATAATTCTAGTATTAACAGTAAACAAATTTAGACTAAAGAACAAAAACAAAAAGTAAGGTTTTGAACAAAGTGTTTTTTAAAAATTCAGTGAAATCTGTACTCAAAAAGATAAATGAGTCAAAAACATTCCTATGAGTATTTATATGCTCTTGGCATGGGTGAGACCCTTTAAAAAAAAAGGGGGTGGGGGGAAAGGATCAGATTAACAGATCTGAATACATAAAACTTTGAAGTAGATGAATATCTTAGCTTGTATTCCTTTGCTATAAAAAAATACCTGAGGGTAGATAATGTATAAAGAAAGCAAGTTTATTTAGCTTAAAGTTTTGGAGGTCGAAAGTCCAAGATCTGTTTGACTGTTGATGAGAGCCTTCTGTCTATATCATAACATAGTAGATAGACTCAGCAGGAGCACATTGGAAAGGGAGAGGGCAGTCATATGGCAAGGAAACAACAGAGATTCAGGTCTTGTTCTTTTCATAACAATTTTCTTTCACTAAACTAACTGGGTCCCGCAATAACTATATTAGTCCCTTCCAAGACCAATGACCTCAACACTTCTACTAGGCACCACCTGTTAAAAGTACTACTACTTCAACATTGCCACACTGGGGGCACCAAACTTCAAGCTGATGACCATTTGGGGAGCACACTCAAAGCATACCCAAACCGCAGCATTCTGCAGTATGTGTCCAAAACATTCTACCCTAATACAGTTTCATTGTAGAGTACTTGACTAGTATGCACAACAACCTGCATTTGTTGATCCCTAGCAACACACACACACAAAAAAAAAAAAAAAAAAAAAAAAGAAAAGAAGGAAGAATGAAAGAAAAGAGAAGAAAATTTAAAAAGAAAGATAATGCTGGGTATAGTGATGCACTCCTGTAATCCCAGCAGCTTGGAAGACTAAGGCAGGAGGATTACAAGTTTGAAGTCAGCCTCAGCAATTTAGAGAGGCCCTGAGCAACCTAGTGAGACACTATCTCAAAATAAAAAAATAAAATGGGCTGGGAATGTGGATCAGTGGTTAAGTACTCCTGGGTTCCAATCCTAGTAACAAAAATAAAATAAAATCCACTACCACCACCACCAACAACAACAAAAAACATCAAAAATATTCCAATGTAAACACAATTTTTAGTTCAAAATAAAATCATGATCAACATATACATATATACACATAAAGGAATTGATGTAAAAATGTGTTTTTAAAAGATTTTTTTTTAAAGTACAAGCATGTTAGAGAAGACAGTTACTAAAATGATTCCTTTCCTATCTTGCAGAGTTTTGTCTGGTACAGGTTAAGTTAGACTCCCTCTGTAAATTACTTTCCTATTGCTGCTATAATTACTGTAGAGGCTTAAGCAACACAAATTGATTAACGAACAGTTCTGGAGGTCAGAGTACCAAATGGGTCAACAGAGCTATATTCCTTCTGTTGGTCTTTCCCAGCTTCTAAGGGCTGCTGATTCCTTAATTGGTGTCTCTGTCTGACTCCAACCTCTGCTTATAGGCCACATCCCTTTCTCTGACTGACTCACCTGCCTTGCTCTCATAACAACCCTTGGGTTAAATGGATCCCATATGTATAATCTATTGACCTCAAATTATTTAATTTAACCAAATCTGTAAAGTCCTTTTATTATGTAAGGTTAGTACATCACAGGTTCCAGTGTTGGTGCACAGACATCTTTGGGAGGGGTGGTCATTATGCTGCCTATTACACAAAGCTGAGAAATTCCCCCATGGGTCTTGAAACAGGTTGAGGTGGGTAAAAAGCTCAGGGTTCATAGTGGTAGCTATTTAAATGCAGTCCTTATATCCATAACTGTCAGTCTGGGCCGAATTCAGGAGTTGATTTAATGAAAAAACAATGAGATACGCCAAAATTATTTTGCCTCCTATTTTGGGGATGGAGAGAGGATAAAGATATTTTTAAATAGTTTCTCCACTGTTTCTACTTAGTGAAAGCACATTCACTTGGAAGCAATTTTAAAAGTTTAGTTTCTTGTTGTGTGGTTTCTTTTCTTTTCTTTTTTTCTATGTTCTCTTTCTTTCCCTTCCTTCCTTCCTTCCTCCCTCCCTTCCTTCCTTCCTTCCTTCCTTTCTTTTCACTGCTAGGGACCTAATCCAGGGCCTTACATATAATTAGGCATACTCTACTACTGGGCTACATCTCTGGCTTGCAAGCTCTTAAAAGGTTGTCCAAAACAACCATAACAAGACTTTATGTGGCTGTGCATGCAGACCCAGGAGGGACTGAGGAGAAGATTCTTCATTTAAGGAAGAGTTTTTCTCCTTCCTCCGTTGCTGGGGCCTGAACCCTGAACCCCGGGCATAATTAGGAAGGCCCTTCATTACTGTCATACCCACAACTCCCAAGAATTCTTAAATGAATTTCTTCTATCTTGTTTGGTGGTCATTTTCTGCATCAGATTGTGTGTAAACGAGCAGCCCCTGGTGGCTCCGAGGATAATAACAGATTTTTGCTGAGAAGTTTTGACGGTGCTCCAGTAGGGGTCAGCGATGAGGTAACTCCAGGGCTCTCAGAATGCCTAATTAGCCTGTGAGCTTTTAAGCCTAAAGGCACATAAAACTGGAGATAAACATAGAACAACAGGAAGAGGGAGGTAATACTAATTTTAAAAGAGTCCAGGAATATATGTTCAAATTGTACATATTAGTAAATTTCTGAATATTTGTGAACTTCGACGAGGCAAAACTTTTATTTGAAGTTCTCCAAATAACACGGGAGTAGAAGAGTCCAAAAGAGACGGGGTCTCGCTATGTTGCCCAGGCTGGAGTGCAGTGGCTATTCACAGGCGCGATCCCACTACTGATCAGCACGGGAGTTTTGACCTGCTCCGTTTCCGACCTGGGCCGGTTCACCCCTCCTTAGGCAACCTGGTGGCCCCCCGCTCCCGGGAGGTCACCATATTGATGCCGAACTTAGTGCGGACACCCGATCGGCATAGCGCACTACAGCCCAGAACTCCTGGACTCAAGCGATCCTCCCACCTCAGCCTCCCGAGTAGCTGGGACTACAGGCGCGCGCCACCGCGCCCGGCGATCAGAACGGCGGCAGAAAGATACTAAAGGCTGAGGTGTGGTGACGTCATCGGAGGAGGGGCAAAACTGGGCGGTTCAGAGCTTGAACACGCCTCGCTCGAGGCGGTCCGGAGTCTGGGGCCATATTTCGTCACCCCGGCGGGGTTACAGTTCTGCTTTGTAATAGACTAAGCGAGGAATCCAAAGCGTACCTCTGTGGCGTGGTCTCACTAAGGTTTGTTCCAAACCCTGTTTGTATTTACCCGGAAACGGTCAGGTCAGTAAACTCTTAAGTGATCCTCGTTGTATCCAGAAACGCAGTGAGAAAGTAAAGGAAGTGCTTAATGCCTGGTCCCCCGGCATTATCTTGCTTCAGCAGACTTGAATACGTGTGGCATCTTTTGGAAAATGTCATTTTATTTATTTTAAATAAATTTTTATTTTAAGAGGGAACCATTTACCTAAATCTTCCATTTTCCACAATAAGCAAATTTAGGAGATGTTTGCGCTGTACGAAGGGGAATAAACTATAGTAATTGAAGTTGGAGGTCCGCAAAAGGGTCGGAGGCCAGCTCAATCTGAATTATTGGAAGGAGGGGAACCTGGGGCTGTTGCCTGCTTTCGCCTTCTCATGTTCGTTGTCCCTGTTGTTGAAGAAAAAAAATAGTAACTGGGTAACTGTGTAAGATTTGGGCGAAGAATTTCGATTTGACGGCTTGGAGGCATTTTGGAACAAGCTTAGGTTAAGGGATGGAGGGGAAGAAAGAAAAAAGAAAAAAATACAACCGGAGTAGTTCTGCTGCAGCAGAAATTTCATTTTTCCTCGTGGGCAGTCTTTCCTCCCCCCCCCCCCCCTTTTTTTTCCCCTAAAAATGAGTCTGAGCTTTCCTCTCCACCTCGGTCCTTGAGGTAGGTAACTTAAAGACCATCAGATAAAAACTTTCAACTCTTCTTTCAACTCCTTGCCACTCCCCTTCTCTAAATTTATCTTTACAGAGTCAGGGAATAACAACCCCCTGTTGTACCTTCTTAACTCAAACCCAGTAGTTCAGAATTCTTGTCTCTGGCTCTGTGTGTGTGTCTCTCTCAGAGATTCTGAGTTCTTTCACCTTAAAAAACAACCCTCCCGTTTCCCCCTTTGACTCTGCCTCTTTCAAAATGGAATAAAGCGGGAGGGGCCAAAGAATGAGGCATACATTAAAGTACATTACAGGCATATATTAAAGTACATTGATTGAAAGCAAAAGGACTCTACAATGTAAATAAACTGAAGTTAATGAGCCTCCCTTGAGAAATTAAGAGGGAATGTCGCAGAATGATAGTTTCCCCCAAAGTCTGTTTCAACCTTTTATTACCCTGATAAATTTATAGTTGGACACAGGAAGTTCCAGTTAGAGACCACATTTCTCAGTTGACCTTACAACCTAGTGTGGTTAAGTTCTCACCAGTGGAACAAGAATGAAGTGTTACAGGTGATCTGTAACTCTTGCTTAAAAATAAATCGTTGCCCTCCGTTTCTGCTCTTTTGAGGTTGGAGGTCCGCAAAAGTGTCGGAGGCCAGCTCAATCTGAATTATTGGAAGGAAGGAAACCTAGGGCTGTTGCCTGCTTTCGCCTTCTCATGTTCGTTGTCCCTGCTCCAGCGCTAGGTGGCGCCAGTGCACACCCGCTGTAGCGCTCCAACTTTAACCACGCAAACGAGGAAAAATATCTCACCCAGAGGATGCGAAAACTTGCAGAGGAAAGAAACCAGGATGCGTGAATGAAAATGGAGCTGAACCACCCTGCTAGTCAGAACCATTCCTATCTCTGGTCTGTTACAAGAGTAAAAAGTCTCTATTTCCTTTAAATCAATATATATTGGTGGGGCCTCTTTATTTTTACAGCATACTCTTAACTTTTTCAGATAAATTCACAGAAGAAAACTTTAAAAAATATATTCTTAGTTGTAGATGGACATAATGCCTTTTATTTTATGAATTTATTTTTATGTGGTTTTGAAGATCAAACCTAGGGTCTCGCATGTGCTAGGCGAGTGCTATACCACTGAGCTACAACCCCGGCCAAGAAAATTCTTCATAGCTAGAACTTCTAAAGGACAAGAACCAAAAGGGCTGCAGCATCTACAGGGCATCCTAATGGGTGGATCATCTTTTTTTTTTTTTTTTAATATTTTATTTTTTAATTTTCGGCGGACACATCTTTGTTTGTATGTGGTGCTGAGGATCAAACTCGGGCCGCACGCATGCCAGGCGAGCAAGCTACCACTTGAGCCACATCCCCAGCCCCGAGTGATCATCTTTACCCGTCTGTAAGATTAAAAAAAAAGAAACAAGTCCTGTATTTTCCTACATTCTCTATATTTGTACCCATTTTATTATTTTGTAAATGAAAATTTTCTTCCTTTCTCAGTTGTCCCTGTATTTTCAGTGGCAGTAAATCTCGTCTTATGAATCGATAAAATCTTTTGTTTTATGATGGTTTAGGTTGAACCACCATCAATTACATTAACCCCCACTTCACCATTGCTGTATGAATTAGTGACAGACATATATTCAGTGCTAAGTCAATTATGCCTAAGCTCCAATCAGTTGTTTACATTTTTAAATTTGAGTTTTAGATTTTTATTTTGTATGGTTGTTTTATTTTAAAAGAGACAAGTGTCTTGATATGTTGCCCAGACTAACCCCAAACTTCTGGACTGAAGCCGCCCTCCTACTGTAGCCTTCCGTGAGGCTGAGGCTACAAATCGGTGTCACAGCGCCAGCGAGGGCAACAGTTGTTGTGACTTTTTAACACTGCAGAAAACAAGGCAATGTCGGTCTTAAGGTGGGGTTTGCGCTTTCAAAATGTAAACCGTCAATTCTGTGGCTCCAAACATCAGAATAGATAAGGCCTTCATCTCGGATGGAGTCTCAATTTGTCTAAAAAACTCGATACCAGGAACCCCCAGACGTTTACAAATTAGTTCTTTGGGGGTGTTAAATGAAGAAGAGCAAGAGGTCAGATGAAAAGAAAAGGCTTTCTGCCCTGGTCGGGAAAGATGGTGTGTGGCCACATAGGGCCTGGGACTCGAAACCTCAGCAGCTACCAAGGGAGGAGCACAGGGCAAGGCAGAAGTTGGACAAAGGCCCCAATTGCTGGGCCCTGAGAGCACCCTAGGAGGCGACCCGATGCAGCTAAAGAGGACCGGGCAGCGGTCCCAGAAAAACAAGTGAAAGAGGCGCAACCCGGGGACCATTGCCAGCCGGCATCCTAGCCCAAGCAGAGGAGAACAGAAGCCAAGACCTGGGACCAGGACACGCGGAGCCCCAGGCGAAGAGGCGGAGAGTGGCGCAGAGAAGCTGGAACTGCCTGAAAAAGCAGGGCGGGACCGCGGCCGCAGGAGGGGGCGGGGCCGGGGGCGGCGGCGGCGGCCAACCCGGGATCCGTGCTGACAAATTACACTGAGTGACCTGAGTTCGTAGGTTTAGCGATTGCACTCTTGTCTGCGCCCTCCTACGACAGCCATCCTTTCCCCACCCTGGACAGAGTGTCTGTTCTCTGCCGTTTAGCACAGTGGGATCACCTACTAGTACCAACAGGATTTTCATTAGGGCAAGTTATTTGCATTTCAGGGCCATGCCCTTGTGGGCTGACCCAGATTCCATTATACTTAATGAGGTATGAATTAATTAGAACTTCACTTTGACACACGTTTTCCCGACCACACTCTGCTCTGAGGAAGAACCTTTAATGTGGTTAATACACATATCGATTCATAAACTGATTTTTTGTGACAGGTTTTTTAACTCAGAATAAATCCTGATATTGGACAAAGTTACTTATCCAATGTCATGCTTGGTGCTTGCTAGGGGATGCTTTATAAATTATGTTTTCATAATTCGCATTGTTAATAATTAAGAATATATTGTGTTACACTGTGGTTTCTGTGTATCACATTTTATGACTGAAGGGATTCACACTTTCCTCAGGGATTGCTTTGGGAGCTAATGCATCTTGAAAGTAGCTCTATTTATACAGAGAATACTGAAAGCACATGCTGCTGTATCTACTTAACTGACAACCCCCCTCCCAATGACAAAGCTCTAATACATTTTGTGGCACAGCTCATTTCCCAAGGGGGAGCATAGCCTGGGGTACAAAAAGAAATAAAGGGAAAACCACTGTTACAGGAGACGGTCTATAGTCACCATGATATATTGATAAACAATGTTACATAGTACAGAAGAGTATTTGTATAATCAAGAAAAATAAATATAAATCCTGATTTATTCTCATTTTCAAAATTAATATTAATGATCTTGCATATTAAAATAATAATACAAACTAGAAAATCATAAGAATTATGTTCTTTTGATTGTAAGATTTTATTAAAATAGTGAGTCCCTTTGTGCATTCATTCATTCATCCATTGGCTCTATATCATTAGTTATTACGGAAATACAATCAAAACCACAATGAGTCAGGCATGTGGCACCTACCTGTAATCCCAGATACTTGGGAGGTTGAGGCAGGAGGATGGAAAGTTGAAAGCCAGCCTTAGCAATTTAGTGAGACCTTGTATCAAAATAAAATAAAAAAGGTTAAGGATGTAGTTCATTGGTAAAGTACTGTGGAGTTCAATCCCCAGTATCAAAACAAACAAACCCAACAACAAATAAACAAAAACCAACAATGAGATGCAACTTCATGCCTACTAGAATCACCACAGCAACAACAATAACAAAAATCCAATCCTAGATATAGACCCCAAAAATTTTTTAAAAGAGGGGGACAAACAGATATTTGTACCAACGTTTGGGGAATCATTCATAAAGTTAAAAGGTGAAAGCAACCCAAGTGTCCACCAATAGATGAATGAGTAAACAAAATTTGGTATTATAGAATATTATCCAGTCATATTAGGAAATGAAGTTCTGACACATGCTACAACATGGAAGAATCTTGAAAACATAAAGTGATATAAGCCAGAGATAAGAAAAAAAAAGCCATTGTATAATTCCATTTATGTGAAATATTTAGAATATGCAAATAGATAGAGATAGGAAGTAGAAGTTGGGGAAAGTGGGGAATGGGGAGTTATTGCTTATCTTGTATAGAATTTCTATTTGGGGTGATAAAAGTTTTAGAAATAGTAATAATGGATGCATAACTTTATAAATGTAATGAATGTTTCTGACTTGTACACTTTCAATATATGTGTATATATAATATTTGTGGGTCTATTTCTGGGTTATCCATTGTGTTCCTCTGATTTATGCATCTATCCCTTCATCAACATCGAACAGTCTTTATTACAATAGTCTTGAAGTTGGGCAGACTGATCCCTTCTACTTTTATTTTTGAAAATCATTTTAGTTATTCTGTTTCTTTTATCTTTCCATATAAATTATGTAATCTTATCAACATCTATAAAGACTCTTTCTGGGATTTTTGATAGAAATTGAATTAAGCCTGGAGAAAATGGGCATCTTTACCATGTTGAATCTTCTAATCCATGAGCATGGTTATCTCACTATATATTAGATATCCTTTGACTTAGTGATTTAATGTTTCCATTTGGTTCTTCACTTTATACCTTCTTTTTAAATTTTTTTTTTGGTTGTTGTTGTTGTATTGGGGATTGAACCCAGATGTGCTGAACAACTGAGCCACATCCCTAGCCCTTTTAAATTTTTATTTTGAGACAGGGTCTCATTAAGTTGTTTAGGGTCTTGTTAAATTACTGAGGCTGACTTAGAACTTGTGATCCTCCTGCCTCAGCCTCCCAAAATGACAGGATTACAGACATGCCCCCCTGTACCCTGCTCATTACATCTTCTATATCTCTGCTAAGACTTCCTACTTATTTGCTGAGACTTTATATTTTCACTCGTTTCAATTGTGTTAGTAATTGCTCATTAAAGCATCTTTATGCTGGCTACTGTAAGATCTTTATCAGTCTAACATCTTTTTCATCTTGGTGCTGGCATTTCTTTTTTTTAATTTTTAATACCTTTTAAAAAATATTTATACATTTTTTAGTTGTAGTTGAACACAATCTCTCTATTTCGTTTATTTATTTTTATGTAGTGCTGAGGATCGAACCCAGGGCTCCTGCACGCTGAGCCACAATCCCAGCCCCAGGGCTGGCATTTCTTAATTGTTTTTTTTTTTGTTGTTGTTGTTGTTGTATTCAGTTTGAGATCTTGCTGTTATGAGTGATTTTTGTTGAGATCTGACTATTTCGGACATTATAAAACTCTGCATCTTATTTTTTTAATATTTATTTTTAAATTGTAGTTGGATGTAATACATTTATTTATTTATTTTTATGAGGATTTGAACCCAGGGCCTCGCACGTGCTAGGTGAGCATTCTATGGATGAGCCACAACCCCAGCTCCTCTGCATCTTATTTAACCCGATTTTAGCTGGCTTCCCCTGACACCTCTCCAACAGGAAAAGGGGAATACCACCTTGTTACTGCTAGATGGGGACAGAAGTACAGTTTACCCAATTGGCCTCTACTGACACTTTAGGATGGTGACTCCTTAGTGCTAGGAAGGAGTGAAAGTACTTGCTCCCCAAAGTCTCCAGTGATACCTCCCTCACTGGAAAGGGTAGTTATGCCTTATTACTGTTCCCCATGTGGTTTTTATGTGCTTTCCATTATGAAGGTATGATTGATTAAACTATTGGTCATCTCAATCGCCAGACCCTCCCCCTTTCTGTGAGGTCTGAAGAAGAGGCTGACAATTTCAAACTTAATCACAAGGTTGAGTCCTCTGGCAACCAGCCCCCTCCTTCAAGAATCACTTCATTAGCATAAACTCCAGTGTGATCAGAAGGGGCTTATTATGAATAACAAAAGAT